ACCTGCATGTGAGTTGGTTTTGCTGTACCTGGCGGTTGGAGCGGTTGCCTACTCTCATGGCTGGTGGGATGGAGAATGTCGATCGCGACCGAGGGCCCGGAGCGCGCCGGATCCCTTCGTGCCTGCTCCCAGATGCTATGGATAGCTAGGGCCTAGGTGGCCTAGGGACCCCACCTGGGTCATGATCCATGGGCGGCATATGGGAAAAAGCCGGATATAAGATGGCGATATGGGAAAACTGGGTGAACTCTCCCATTTTCAACGACTTTTCAAAACTTCCTCTAATAAGAATGTCCGAATGACAGATATAAATCCTACGTTTGTCGTCGAACATACACCCCATGACTGGGTGCCAGCCACAGAGACTTGACAGATGCTTTCATGCTTAGTTTCTGCTAGGGGGAGTCAGATACAATGGGAATCAATAGGGTGCCTGTGGTGCCTGTTTGATGTAATAGACCGACGAATACCGACGATATCCTGTTGGCATTTTGATGGAACTCTCCATCTAAGTTGCGTTGCTCTAGATAAAAGAAGGCCAAGGTCATGAGCCATACCTATACTGTATAATTCTGCTTGCTGGTATAGCTTGGGTCACATCCCCGATGATTCCTGATGCACCCAGTCGGATTCCTTGAGTTTTCTTCCCAGGATGCCGCGCGGTGGGATGATGTCTTGTCATCGGACCGGCAACGAGCGGTGCTGAGAAGCTTGCAGGCGCAGTTTCAAGCTGGGGGATACGACAAACAAATGGAGGTTTCACGGTAAACATGGCTGAACCATGGCCACCTGTCAGAAGTTTTTTTTCGGCCGAGGAGGCTGGGTCACCTTGAAAGATGGCATTGACCGAAACCGGTGTTGTGGTGAAACTCATGATTTGGTGCGTGTCAGCGTGCAAACGTGCAGGCTGCGACATCCTTGGGAATTCCGGAAGCCGACATGTTGGTCGGGTAGCTACAAGGGAATTGAATAGAGGGGCTGGCTGTTTTGCACTAGTCAAAGGATGCCTGTAGCATCCTTACGTTTGGAGATTGTAATGTTCAAACTCTTCAGGTCTTATTGACTTGTATTCGGCACTCAGTTAAAGAAATCTCCAGTAAAGGAGCTCATGCAAGTCAAAGGAAATTCATGGTATGCCACAATGTGCCTCTTGTTTGGGGTTTAAACCCGAAGATCCGTTTTGATTGTGACGTAATGTAATGTATTGTCCATACTGAATCTAAATCATATCAGAAGATCTCCATGTTTTGATGATAACATCACTTAGAAATCCAGTGGTTTGGAATATCACATTCCCCATTCAAACAAGTTCCATTTTGGATGGGGTATTTGCAGTATCTCCCATTGTTGAGACAACCCCAATATTATCATGTTGTATGCTTACATCGCACTACATCCCATAATGTTTCAAGATGATGTATCCATTGTGGTTGGTTAAATCTTCCTGTCCTTGGTTTTAGTCCCACGTAATTCCCATTTATCCATATCTATCCTAGAACTGGTTGAAGGCAAACATGATAGAAACATGAGATTCTTACTAAAATACATAGTGCCTGCTGCTTTCTCCAACACGCCTGCGCCCAGTGAGTTCAGTGAGTAGCCGTGGTGTTACCCTAGGCCTTGGGGTAAGCTTCTGTGCTGTTTGCTTCTTGTGGTGAGGTCTCTGCACGCCTGGCGGGGGGGTGTGCAGGTTCCTTTTCCCACGTCAAGTGATTCCTTACCCCTTGGGCAATGTTTGTCACGGTTTGCTCCCTACGGGAGAGTGTCACCACTGGCAGGTTTTTTCCCTCTAAAAGAGGTTTTTCCTGCTGTCAGCCTGCTCAGCCCAATGTCCGGCTGCTGCAGATTGTGACGATTACATCCCATGATTTTCTTAGTGATATATATATATAATATAGTGATAAATGAACATACAATATACATGATAATTAACTTGAAGAATATCACTTTTCTATCATGGAGGTTGCAATAAGAAACACCACTCAGGTGCAAGAGTTGGCCGCGGACTTCTGCCGCTGCGAACGCCTGGCACGGGCGGCGCGCCGGGCGCATGCGCAGGCGATGTTTCAACGGACAATGGCCGGGGGTATTCTCATGGGGTTGAGCCGTTCTCAATATATTTGGTTGGAGTATTCTAATTATTCTAATACCAATGACAACAACAATCTTATTGGTTAGTTACAAATACATATAAATATAATATATAATATATTATAATATTATTATATAATTAATATATAAAATACACATATATATATATATATGTATATCTATAAAACACATATGAGTTATATTTGGAGGTTTCCTGAATCATGGGGGGTGCCCCTTGTATCATCCAAGTCATGGATGACCATGATTTAGTATTGAAACATGGTGACGTGGGGATCGCCTATGACTTAAGAAGCCTCCATATCATTGTTGATTGGTTAGTACAGGGGATTGTACCTGGTTTGTTGGGGATTGTCATTGCCAGTCACAATCCATGAACTGGGAATCCTTATCAACCAACGAGTAAAAAATGGATGGGATAGGGGAAGAAATCAAATCGCTCCTGGCAAAGCCAGGATACGGCCCCACAGTAAACGAACCATGAAACAGAAGTCTCAAAATGGGATGTACAAAGATCTTGTGAAATCCTTGAAAGGATCCTTGATTGGGGCAAACGATTAACCATTGGATTTTGGATGATTTTGGTACTTTTGGACACAGCGATGAAGAAAAAAGACATGAAGGAATACCGAATGATCATGGGCGTCGTGTTGCTGAATAATTGAGGGAAGGGAAGTACATAGAAATCTTCACAGAATGGGGCAGACTAATACAATAATCCATCAAATTGCCTACAAATCCATAGGTTTGGGCTAAGAAGTGTGAGAAGCACCTGCACGGAGGGGGCAAATCAGTTGGGATTCGGAATTTCCCAAATGTTTGGCTAAATATGCGCGGAGTGTCCTTGAGAATCATCCAGTTCTGTCTCGGTCTAGTTGCAGAACGCTGCAGCTGATCGACTGGGGGAATCGAGCGGCAAGGTCGCGAAACAGAGCAAACCCAAAGCTGCGCAGGTGGTGACCTAAGAAGTGGACCCATGGCTGTTGAAGGGGTGGCGATTTTGTCTTTCAATGTGGAAAGGTTAGAGTGTCGGCATTCATCCCAGGAAGGATGTCCCCCGCGAGAGATTTGGCTCCAAACGCTCATTTTGTGGCGCTTCGGACCAGCCCTGAGCACTGTGCCATGACCCAAGTCACACGTGTCATTAAGGTGATGCTTGATCAAAACGAAATCTTTTTTTTTCCCCCAAGGTGGCTTCGGCCAAAGTATGGTATATCACTCTGATAGTCTTTCTTAGAGTGGCTTAGCCATCAACCAACATGATGATTCCAATGCATTCCGCACCAGCGGCAGCCAGGTGTCCTTGGCATTGTTTGTGGCGACCTCCAAAGCCTTTGACATGCCGAGCGACGTTGCAGGCACTGGTGGCACCAACTTCTTGCTGATCGGGAACCCGGGCACGGGCAAAAGCACCATCCTCAATGGTTTGATTGGTCGGTTGGCTTTCAAATCTGGCGTCTCCTATGGCAGTGGCATGACCTACCAGTTTGATGTGGTTAAGGAAGGACAACATCAATATATGGACACGCCCGGCCTGTCGGATGCCTTCCTTCTGTTTCAGCGATTTTACTTTTTGATTTTCAGGTACAACATGTCTGATGACATGTCTGATGAACTGTCTTTTAGATTAATTTGAACAAGAGACCACTACTAAGATTGACGCAATTTTCTTGCATTTTATACAATTTGAATCAATTTGATACGATTTCATACCATATTACACAATTTTATAAAGTCACTAAGGATGTGAACATGCGTCAGAAGGCAGCTGACGCCATCACTCAAGCTCTGAAGCAGAATGGCTACTACAAAATCTTTTTTGTTGTGGTGCTTCAGAATGGCCGTGTGCGGCCGGAGGACATAGCAACAATGACGTTAGTTCTCAATGCTGCGCCCATTTCCCACTATGGTGTGATCATCAATCAGCTGTCTCCTCGTGAATACAAGGATCTCTTGTCGAAAGACAGCGGCGCTGCCCAGAATGTGCTTGGCATGATTTGGACCGCCGTTGGGCGCGACAAGGCAAGTGCCCATGTCCACTTGGTGAAGCGTGACGAGGATTTGGAGGGGGCGGACAATGTGGTGAAAGCTTTGCCGAAGGATCTGGTGACATTCATTCAGCAGACACCTGGCATGGAGATCAAAAGCCAAGAAGTGCAGAAGGTCCGAGCCAGCGAATTTGAGGAGAAAATGGAGCAACTTGAACAGAGGATCACCCACCTGCAGCGAGAAAAAGAAGAGCTGCAGGTGGAGATCCGCAATGTTTGGAAGGGCCGAGACGAGGAGATTCAACGGATCCTTGCCCAGCAGCAACAACAGCGCCACGGAGAGTCCAATATGGCTGGAGAAGTCTTCGTGGGCAATGTGCTGAGTGCATTGGCTCTTGGTGGTATGGCCTTGATGATGCGTTAGGCCATCAGATGTCATGCTTCCATGGCCAAATGGTGGGCTGTTTTGATCCCTTGCCCACATCGTTTGGTAGACCCTGAGTCCACAGTTCGAGTCGAAAAAAAGGTGAAGCATGCTGGCAGGGTCATGGCATGTAGTGACAATGTAGTGGTTACTTGCTGTTGCTTGACACCCAGGTGGCCCAGGTAGCTAAATTGAAGAGTTTCCCTACAAGCGAACTTAATGGATGGATTTGGGCCCACCAAGTTTGAGAAACCACCAGACAGACCAGATTACGAGGCGAGTTCACAGCGGAACATTTCGGACAGTTCCTGAAAGATTGCGCAGCCCGCAGGGAACTTCAAAAATGCGACCCTTCTTGCAACAAAACTGTTCTTCTATTACAGTAAAGCTGAACATGTTTCAGATGAGTTTAAGGAGCCCCTGCAAACAACGAAGGTGCAGGCTCCAAGATGTTGCCCCAAGTTTTCGAGGGGGTTTGTGTAGGAACCCGCAAAGGGCCCCAAATGCACGTAGGGTTTGTTGGGAAGCCGCTCAACAGTGTTTGGTTGGAAACAGTTCTGGACACACAATGCACACCCGACTCTATCATCTGTTGTTTGTTTCTACTAGTGTTATGTTTTCTTTGTTTCTCTCACTGTTCGGACCTGCTTAGGTGGAACGCTGGCGTTTGGCGCCTTTTCGTTGCGTCGCAGAAGTCGAAAGGGAGGTGGGAAGCTTCCAGGGTTTGGGTCCGTCTTTCTCCCTACCCCCTAGCATCATGGCTGTGGATTTTTCAGGCTCCAAGTTCGCCATTTTTCAGTTTTTCGCACGCTTCCGATGCAGATTTACCCTCTGGTAAACTAACATAACTATGGAAAATCACCATTTTTAATGGGAAAATCCACTATAACTGGCCATGTTCAATAGCTCTGTGAAATTACCAGAGGGTACCGTGGTTTCCAACTCACAAAGCTTCCTGGATCCCCCTTGGACAATCAAAAAGAGCCCAGCCAGGAAGCGCGACCCCACACGGAGCGCGGTCCACGAAGTCCACGCGTCCTTCGGCCACTGGATTTGCAGATCGGACCCGTGCGCAGCTGCGATGGCTTGGACGTGGGGGGCCCAAAAAGGGGCCCGGGCCCAGGCTGCGGATGTGAATCCCATGGAAACTCTGAGGTCCCAAGAAAACTCAGGGGATGATTTAACATGTTTAATTAAATGTTTTCAAACAAAATTTCATGGACTCTGGCTTTGGAGGAACTTTGTTTGCTTCGAAGGTGCGAATAATAAAAAAAGAACATGTCTCTACCTGTCCATTAATTCCATTCATACACGGTACTGGTTGATTCCATAATGTGCACTGCGTTCTTGTCGATACATGTTGATGCAATGCTTATGGTCTACACATGTCTATATGTGCCATGGTCAAAACTTTGGTAAATATATAGCCTGTACTCACAAATGGTAATAATTCCTTTTTCATTGAGATTCACATATCATAGTCTCCCCTTCACTGACACCGACGCTGCAAATTGAGAAAATGTACCGATGTACTATGTTAGTGGTTCTGTTTTTTTTTCAATTTTGGTGGTTTGAACTCGGGCATCCAAAAAGAAAACACCATTTGCAGCGTCCATGTCTGTTAGTGGGACATATGTCAAAGTTCCATTAACATGGACGCTCAAACAAGCTATTTTGAACAAAACATCGCGAACATGGACTTTTTAGCTTAGGGGTGTCGGCATGTTCATGGCGCAAATCCGTTTTGTCGCTTGCCTCATCATCCTTGCATTGAGCGCTGGAGATGAACTTGACAACGTGACGACCGTCCAGGAGGAAGTCGGTGGAAGCAACAAAAACCCTCCCTTTATTTACTTTTACTATCCATGCAAAAGAGTAGATGATTTGGCTAAACACCGGCGGTACGTCTGTCATTGCATGGCTATTTCTATAGATGGCCACAAGCATTGGGGTGAGTTTGGCGACTGTTCCCATTGGGCTGGAAGCAACCCACCTACCTGCTATGTGCAGATACAGTTTGCTAGGCCGCCGCAATACGCAACCTATTCTGTGAAAGAGTATATTCCCTGGTCCGCCAGGGGTTCGTGGTTGTGTACTTGTGACAAGACCGAGGCAAGCTGCACTAGTGTACGCACAGGACTGAATCAGTTGCGTCCACATGGCAGCACAGTACAGCTAGTGCAGCTAGTGAGAGGGACTGTATAGCTTACATTGGCTTCGCAGACATCGCGACTTAGCTTGGCAGACATTGCCACTTAAGCTTCGCAGACATTGCCACTTGCAAAAAGAGGCACACAAACACTTTGAAGCATGAGGAGAATTTGAAGAAGAATGATAGTCAAATTTCATTTTGTAAAAGTGAAAGTGTCTTTTGTTTTGGTTTGTTGTTATGATTTATGGTATAGTCTTTTTTTTATAATCTATTGTATTGTTTAGGTTGTTTGAGTTTTTTTGTTTTGTTGTTATGATTTATGTTATTGTTTTCTATAAGGTGTTGCTCCCGTGTTTTTGGTATTAACCCCATAGAATTTGCTTGTATTATAATGTGGGCGGTTAGATGAGAAAGACGGGGGAGCAACAGTCTAACTATATAATATGTACTATAAATATATAATATGTACTATATATATAATATGTACTATATATATAATATGTACTATAAATATATAATTATATAATATGTACTATAAATATATAATTATATAATATGTACTATAAATATATTATAATATATGTACTATATATATATATCATAATGGATGGCCATACCACTCCGAGGCCTCCATCGCTCGGCTGGTGCAAGTGGAGCCGGAGCCTGAAGCGCCGGCTGCGCCGGCTGCGCCTCGGCTGCGGCGGCCCTCCTCCCAGGCAAGGCCTTGGAGAATTACTGGATTTTGTGGATTTTTCATAATTTACCATTATTATCATTATTCCTATTGGAAATCACAATTTTTAATGGGAAAACCCACTATAAATGGCCATTTTCAATAGCTATGTTAAATTACCAGAGGGTACCATTATTATCATTATTCCTTTATGTCTTTCTTTCTTTCTTTATTTTGTTTTATTTATTCATTTATAACACATTGTATTTTTTTGGAATTTAATTCTTGACACACCTTCTTATATAATGTTATATGTCCTATTATATGTATATAATATGCATATATATATATATATACACATTGAAAGCGACTTCAAAGTGGGTTTCAAAGCCTTTGTTGAGTGAAACTCGAGGCGGAAATGAGTGCCCAGTGTGGAGTTCCGGCAATTTGCTACAGCAAAATATTGCTTGTTAGATGCTTGTTATATTCTGTACTGTACTCACTTTTTTTTAGTTACTGCCGTTCATGCCATTTATCTGTCGATAGTTGCTGGCAGTTGACATTTTATTTGTTCCCCTTCGAGTCAAGCAGCACGTGTGAGGCGACTGGGCGACGTCCATCCGGGGCCAGGCTGGCCGTTCAACCCAGGTAGATAAACTTCTGGTCGGTTGAAGTCGGGGGGTTACGATTTTAGTAGCAGTGTTTTTTTGGGGTAAACTCCCAGAATCAATTAACTCGGGCTTATCTATCGAGGATTTGTCATTGCTTATGTTGTCAGAAAGTTGGTCAAGACATTTCCATCACGCTTTCTACGTTTTGCATTGAGGGATCAGGCTCTGTCCGGTTGGCCTTTTGGAATTGCATTTTTGAAGGATCCTCCAAGTAGGTAAATATGTGCAAAATGGATAGATAATGATAGATAAGTTCTTTCAATGTGGATGACATGTACCTTGCAATTTTCCGTATCTTCAAGGTGTCCAACCGTTCTATTTGAATCTGGGGCTGCTATAAGCCACATGCCGCAGGCATGCCCCACATCGGCAGCGATGAGGCGAGGTCAGAATATTGTGTGTCAAGAGGGTTTAAGGTTTCGGAGGAAACCTTGATTGACGCTTGTTCGTAGGGCTAGATCGATCTTTCTTAGATTTATCATTCCTGTCACATTTGCTGCATGTTGTAAACATATCTGACATATCTTGGACGTAAATTGATGCACCAACCTGACAACATCTGGTAAGTCTATAGATGACAACGATGGTATTTGTTTTTGTTTTGATTTATTACTATGTTTTTTGAAAGGAGCTATGATAATTATCATGATAACCATGATAGAATTCTATGATAACCATCATAACTAACCAACATTGACTAACCAGTTTTATCCTTGATCCATAGCGGTGTCAGGGGTTTGCCGCTGCGAGGCAAAGCCTTTTTTCGCTGCACAACATGTACATATCGGATGGGCAAAGTACCATCAGATCCCTGAGGTCATAGGATGCCCCAGGTTTAGATCCATATACTTTAAGTAACTGGTTATCTATTAAAGCAGGGTATTTATGGAAGATGAAATACAGCTATGCAATATAGCTATGTCTATATAAATTGTATTTTGACATATTGCATTTATAGATAATGTACTTTGGGAATGTTTGAGATCCACATATATTTCATCTATACTTTCTACCCAATTCTAGTAATAGTAAATAGTAACTCTGGTATATATTTTTGGATGGGAAAGTAAGCATGTTTGTTTTTTGGGACTTGATGTCCCACAGTTGCAGTTCTTGGAAGGAATGCAAGTTGCATCCACTATATATGTAAGAAATTGTAGGACAGTGGCAGTCAAATCCTCAAGGATTGCAGAAATCGATCGGTGGGACTCCAACTGGGAGCCACAGATCCTGGACGCGAAATTCGCCACGCGAAATTGAAGCTCTGCGTGCGGAGATGGCTGTGGCAAGGCTCCGAACAGATCTGCTGGTTCAACAAGACTTGACCACTGGAAAAGGTGATGTTTAATAATGTTTATAGTGGAAATGGCTAAGCCAGTCTAACGCCCAAAAAGTATTCATCACCAAACGAATGAGCCTTAATTTTGGGCATTTTCTCGTGATTTCATGGGTACATGCCACAGGTTTGTGGCCATTTCATCTCAAGCTGATTGGATCCTGGGGTGTCGGCAAAGTCATCCGACCATCCCAGCTTGGAACATTGGATGTTTGATGAGCAGACCCAAAACCCACTATAGTAATATAGTATGTAATATGGGGAAACTCACTACATTATCATATTATCATATATTATATGATGTAAATATCATGATGATTGGCAACACTATGATGATATATTGTAATTTCTTACTTACGCCAAAACAGACGGATGATGATTCTACATATTCTATTGGATTTCATGTAGTCACATTTGGAGGCCCTCAGCAACCAGCATAGGAACCGCAGCAGCCAAAGTGTGCCAAAGTGTGCCAAAGTGCTCGCTCCTTCTGCGTGTTCTCTCGATGGGGCTATGGAGAGTCCTGGATGAAGGCCTGTGGCGAAGCCAGTAACAAGGCATAGCCAATTACACGGTGCTGCCCCATACTTAGCTAACTTGGTTTATAACTAGGCTAACGATTGGATTTCTGGTTGATATCCATAGTTGATATATATTTGTAGTTACATGGTTGACATATCGAACTAGCTACTGTAGATGGGGTTCCAAACCAACAGACAGATTTCACCATGGTGGGCACCCAGCCGCAGGTGGTACCACAACGAGTAGCGCAACGAGTTCCTTTGTGCAACTGACCTCCACACCTTTGAAGAGGCGTTGGATCAACGTGGATGATCCATGGAAGTAGGAGTTGTAGGTAGTGGCATTAGGGGTGCTATACCCAATACCGTCATGATGTATACTGATGTTCCAACTTCCAAATTGTGGACAACGAGTTAGAACATGTTAGAACATGCTAGAAGCATGGCATATGATCATACGAAGGATTTTGGGATTTTGGGGATATCCCCGTTCTGTTTGGATCAGCAAGGGGCCTAAATCAAAGGGTGCGCTGCCGACCATCCTGGATCCCAGCAGTGCAAGTCTGTTGCTTTTTTCATGATCCATGGGCTGGACCCCTTTATCGCTGGATGGTTTATTTCATGAAAAATCCTATGAACATGGATGATGACTGGGAGTACCCCTATTTCAGGAAATCTCCATATATCTCTGAATTCTTGTTCAGGGTATTGGCAAGTTTGAGCCATGAAATCAGGTAAAAGATTGGTGGATATTCCAAGATATTCCCAAGCTTTTATCGCATGCAGGCGCACAGAAGTACAAACCACGCTTTTTTTCTGCGACACAATGCTTACGATCTGGTAAACTAACGTAACTATGGAAAATCACCAGTTTTAATGGGTAAATCCACTATAAATGGCCATTTTCAATAGCTATGTTAGTTTACCAGAGGGTAACCATCCCAGTTATACAAAGACATCTTGCCATTGCGGGTTGATAAAATTGGGGTTATCACATTCTCGAGGCGCAGGGAAACAAACTGCGCGTCTATACTATGTGGTTCCCTTAAATAGATGGTGCTCGAATGTCCCATCATGTTGAAAGTTTATTGGAACAGTAGCTATCCATATTGTTTTTCCCATCTAGATTCCAGAAATATTTTTGGAATCCAATTGAAGATTCCAATTTTACAAATTTCAAACATCAACAAAGATTCTGTGGGTTACAAATATAGATTCCAAATCTTTGTCAACCCAGGTCTTTTCTTCCCCGCCAGGGCTGGTGAGGCTCTGCCAAGACATGTTCGGGTCGCCCAATTGCGCGACAATGGGCTTCTTGATCTTATCTTATCTTTATAGATGTTTAATGATGTTCATAGATTATCATAATTTTACCAGATGTTAAAATATACCCTCTGGTAAATTCACATAGACCCTGAAAATCACCAATGTTGAATGGAAACTAATCTTCCAAAGCCTATCTGCCAGGGTCTATGTTAATTTACCAGAGGGTATACAATACACACATTTATATATATATATTCATATACTATTCATATACATATTATATGTATATTTATATATACCCTCTGGTTAATTAATATACCAGAGGGTAAGTGTTTCAAGAAGCCACTAAGGCCTACAGCCAAAGTTGCCTGGCAGGGCAGAACACTCCGCCGGTCCTTGAGGCGAAGGTCGGATGCAGTGACGACGGGGAGCGACTGAAACGACGGGGAATGGGTTGATGGGTAATGATATGATCAACTTTATAATTACCATAGCTGATGAGATATGATGACATACTATCATCATAAATGGGTTGATCACTTTATAGTGATCACGGCATTATCATTTTTCATGATAAAGGTTCATATGTCCAAGCTTAGTAGATGTCCAAGCTAATTTATATGATCTTTTTTAAATTTCGATAGGGGATCTATGAACTTGAGGAGAGAAAGAGACATAGAGAAACTTTCTTTTTGCAGGGTGTGTGAGATCAGCCATATTGATACCCACCATTCAGTATATTAAATAATATATAGGATACTAGATCTATATACATATGATGCATCTATGCATATGACGCAAATCACCATTTTTCGATGTGTGCAGAAGACTGGTTTGGTAGATGTTGACATTTCCCATTTTGCTCACTTTTCATTCTTGCTTGAATTGGTGATTTGCAGGCCAGAAAAAATGGAATCAATCTGGGGAGGTCACCAAGAAGTGTCGATCCAGACTATGTCAGCAAACAAAAACAACTCCAAGCCTTGGTGAAAACTCGCGTTTTGCCAACTTCCAGTTGTGTCTTTCCATTGTCTGTCGCCATGGTCGCCATGGTCTTTTCCCCAGCATGGATTTTTCACTCGCATCCAGTCGCCAGTTGGTGAACCCCGGGAAGAAGTGGCTCTTGTTGACTGCATGGACGAGGCGTGAACCCGGGCGTTGTGAAGGGTTTGTTTTAAAAAGCACGCCGGAGAGGAACCCGAACAGTTCGTTAAACAATATTCATGGATAGTTCGATATAAACTCACCATGTAGTCTCATAATGTGCTATTTAGTTAACCTATAGTTTAACTCATATCAGTTGATTTTCACTCAGTAGTTCGATGTATCCGCCATCCAATCATTAGCCGAGTGAAATTTTCATCAGCTTAGCCAAACGCGTATTTTCGGCACCACCTTGTGTTTTTGGGTGAAGACGGTGAAGATGATCATTTTGTGGTGCCATGTTTCAGTTAGGCAATCGGATTGGTGATAGCCAGTGGGGATGATCATCAATCCCAGGATGGGAGGCCAGCCAGCAATATGGAGGCGGCGGAAATTGCAGCGGATGTTGCAGGAAAGTGGACATCGAAAGGGAACTATATGGTAGGATGTAGCAGCAGTCGTTATAGTTATAGTGTTATTATAGCGTTCTCCAACCATTGGTCCCATTCTTTCTTAGACCTATCGCAGTGGATGAACTCAGAGGCTCCAATGGTATTGGTGTTATTGTCTATGCCCTAAATCAATTTCTCTTATCACATCATTTTTCGGGCGAAGTGACGTCACGTGTTCGTTTAAGATGTCACCATTCCACCGTGGACATCTCGGGGTTTTTCTTCGGCCTTGGTGCAGGCACCGCCCATTTGGTTCGTGGCCAACATCCCCATCTCTTCAGTGGGGGATACCAAGAGGAACTGATCCAGGTGGACTAAATCGCGGCTGTGCACGGACTTAAGCACGGCTAGTAAGATTTGACTGGCTTTGAGAAAGGTCTGATACTGTAATGCGTCATCCAACATTGTCCAACTTTCAACATTATCCATGAATATCCATAAATCACTGGGGATAAAGGTGACTTTAGGCCTGGCCTGGCCTTTATTGAGTATTATGATGACAGGAAAACCCAGGAAATCCATCGCCAAGTTACAGGGTTTAGTTTCTCAGGGGTCATCCTCACAGTGTGCATGGTGGAACCAGCGCTGGGGCTGCGCAAGAACGTTGGATAGGCACGAGGTAACTGATGGTTTCGTTAGGAGATTCGTGACATTTCAGAACATACAGGCGCTCACACACATGTATGTATAGTATTGTATAGTGTGTATCACGAGAACATGATATCCTTAATCATTGTATCATCGTATCTTGATGTTGGGTGTTTTCCTATAGATTTTGCAAAATTTGGAGCTGGAAGCTACTTGCATTTTTGTCAAGATCGGTGATTTCAACATGTTCAATCTTGCCAATCTGCTCCCTAAATCTGGACAAAGGTTGGTGACTGACATACTGTGGATGGTTGCGAAAACCTGTGCTAGTTGAAAACGGTGGTAAACATCCCATGATTATCCATTATTGAAATAGGGTTTCCACCATTATTTATAGGGTTTCCACCATTATAGGCTTATCAACCATCCTTTCGGTGGTTTCTCGGATTTCGCAACCACCCAACGTATTCCACACCACCTGAGGCCAGTCAGCTGCACCGAGCGCATGGAGATGTTGTTGCCGGTCTCAAGTCATGGGGGGTTCGAAAATTTATGGCCGCTGAAATATGGGAAAGGTAAGGTGATTTGCTAAAGCCATTGGTCATTGGATTGGTTTAAGGGATAATCTACAGGAAAGACCCATATTTAATAGGAAAAACTATGGTTTCCTGTAAATTTTCCCTTAAACCAATCCAATCACTAAAGCCATTGGGGGATGGAAAACGGGGTATCTATCCAAATTTCAGGGCCGGAGTCACTCAGGCCCTCCCAGACTTTGCAAATCGCTGGATTTGCCAAGTGGATGAGGATGGCTTTTCCCCAAGTGGAAATTGACATTCACCTTGGAAAAATATTAGGGTTTGTCTGAAAATAGGGTATCCATTCCTTAAAATCCACTGGTTAATCATCATTTGCCAAAAAACTTGCCCTATCACTTGATGGCCTCATTGGCTATAGCCCATGTTTCAGACACGCCTCAGGTGGTGCCATATCAAGGGCCTAACATCCAGGATGACTACATCCATCGGATCTTCTTCCGAGTCTTTGAACAACCCCAGAAGGCGCCCAGCGAAGGGCTTCAGATAGGGCATATCTACTGGCACTTTGCGTATCAATGTTTATTTCTTGTGAATGTACTGTATACCAGTGATGTTCAATGGCAAGTTCACCATTCGTGCAGCTAAAATCGTTTTCCATTCAAATAGTGAATGAGTTTTTCATGCTTTAAATCATTCAATAAAATCCCCCAAAGATAGAATACATCTTGACCACTCATTTTTAGGATTTTACCTTTCTATTTCTTTTGGGAGTTGATGTTTTTTGTGCATATTCCTGACTGGTCGCGTACATTGAGTTCATGGCCTACTGGTCGCATCCCCATGATCTGTTTCTTCCTGTAGAGGTGCCGCCGCATATGCTGAACGACTGGAGAAGGGTGATGGACTGGATGAAACAGAACGGCCTCGGGCTACAGGTGCGGGAAACTGACAGAGCACACAGTCCTTGTGCCATAGTGAAACCCTGTGAGTAAAAAACAGAGGAGATGTTTCAAGCATCAATCCGGGTAGTGGTTTGGCCATCACATCTTGAAGTTTGTTGGCTTGATAATTACCACAAAATCTGCAGAAATATTTGCAATCTATATCCTACTAGAAGATGTATAAACAAGATCTGTATAGATTTCAAGCTGGCCTATATCCGTATAGTAACACCCCAAAAGATAGAGGAGTCATTTACCATTGTTTTGGGCCGTGGTTCGCTTTCTACTTTTGTTTTTTTTTGGTTCCTTCCTATACGCTTATAGCACCCCCCCGAAACGATAGAAAAGTAAGATCCGAATCTGAAACAATGGTAAATATGTACATATATACATATTATATGTATATAAGAATTTGTATATATATATATGTATATATATATATTGCATATATATTATATTATATTATATTATATTATATTATATTATATCATATTATATTATATCATATTATATTATATTATATTATGTTATATTACATTATATTATATTATATCATATCATATTATATAATATCAAATATAATATAATATAATATAATATTATATTATATTTGATATTATATTTGATATTATATTATATTATATTTGATATTATATTATATTATATTATATTATATTATATATATATTATATTATATAGTATATTACAGTATATATATAACACAATATAATACAATATAATATAATATAATACAATATAATATAATATAATATTACGATATTATATTATATTATATTACATTATATTATATAGTATATTACAGTATATATATAACATTATTTTCCCTAATCTCTGGGGGTTACTATACAAACATATTCTTTTGGTGGGGAGTGGCTGGCCCAGCCCCATCCCAGGCGGCTCGCAGCGGCGGACAGATGTCCGAGTTCCTCCTCACGGCGGTGCGGTCCCAGGTAATCCAGCCATTTTTGGAGCTACCCTTTGGGAATTTAACAGATGACCTATGGATTACCAATAATCAAACATAAAATTCCCCATTTACATATGATTTCCCTCTGGTAATTTAACAGTTTGCTATTGAAAATTGCCATAGAAATAGTTGATTTACCTATGAAAAATGGGGATTTTCCAGTTTGATGGGTATGACATACAGTGGATGGTTGCGAAATCCTGCACCAGTTGATGGGTGGTAAATATTCCATCATTTTGTTGGAGTTTCAACCATCATTTCGGTGGTTTCTCGGATTTCGCAACCATCCACAGTATGGCAGCTATGGCTTTGAAGAACCAGCCATAGATCCATCCATTTTTCGTTGCGGCTTTCAAATTTTGGTCACTGATGCTTCATCGGTATGGGTGAACGGGATGGTGTTTTGGTGGGACCTGCGGCCCCAAAGGGCTCGTTCATTTTCACACGCATTGTAGTGATGGTTGATGAGGGTGCACTTTATTTTTTCCTGGTCCCATAGCTGACCATGGATATTTGAGAAGCTGATGGGCCACGGTTGGTGATTAAAAGACATGACCCAAACATATCTGGGTTTAATTGGTACCCTCTGGTAAACTAACATAGCTATGGAAAATGGCCCATTTATAGATGGTTTACCTATTAAAAATGGTGATTTTCCATAGTTGTGTTAGTTTACCAGAGGGTATCTCAATGATTCTCAATGACTTGATCCCCCATCTTGCTTCTGACGACTTGAGGTCAGGAAGCGGCCAAATGTGTGAAACTTAGCGGCGAGGGGATGGGTGGTAAAGGTCACAGATCCTGATTTAGTATGATTTAGTGGTGATTCAATGTTGATTTCATGGGATTGAACGGAATACACAACCAACAATATGTATATGGGTGGGCCTGAAAACATGTTAAACCCCCAAAAAAGCTTCTTGTGGCCATTGTGATGGGGACAATGATGACAGACTATGGGATGGACTGAGGGATCCGAAAATCATCAGTTTGTTGGACATAGCCACTAGCCAAATATGATGATACGCACATCTGCTGTAGGCAACACACGTGTCTAGGCACGAAAACTATCTCTACTATGTCAGGATCTTCAAAAAGGATCGAACCCGTAATCAACTCAAGAAGCTTAGCGGAATCCTAGCCTGGTGCGGAAAAAAACCAGGACCCCTTTACATTTGATGGTACCTTCTGGCAAACTAACATAACTATAACATAAAAAGGGCATTGGTCAAAATTGGGTACCGGAATAATCAGATGGATTGTATCACTAATATCAATATCTACTAGAATCTGTGGTCCCATCAGTGGGGCTAAAAAAAAATTGAGGTCGCCACAGCCAGTGTGGGTGACCTGGGTATGGTGGGAAGCTCAGGTGGGAGGTGGATATGCAACCGACCACAATGAGGATTCAATTGGATCTAATGGGATATACAGTTTACAGTATACATTATATACATATATACAATATATACATATGATGATGATGATGATGATGATGATGATGATGATGATGATGATGATGATGATGATGATGATGTTTGTATATGCCTGCAAAAACAACTATTCTCCGATTGGGTTATACTGATATGATATACGTTGATATACTGGTAATTTTCATGGGGAAGAGATGACCGATTCACTGCGATGCGGCATTGGATTTCCTTGTGAACCAAAGGAACATTGGAAAATCCGTAGCTTCTTGTGGAAAGTAACTTACAAATACATGTGTAATGAAATTTTAATGGATTTTCCACATCTATGTGTTTGTTTACATGAGGATCACATGGATGGAGAGTTGTTCCCGCGTCCAGGTTCTAAGCGCCCCATCACTGCCTCAAGCAGGCAATGGAGGCTCGGTACCTGGGGTTGACACCCAAAGTATTAATCACGGATGGAACATTTGAATCCCATACTTGATTAACATGACTATCATTCATTGGGTTCAAGTTAGGTTCAAGGCAGGTTCAAGCTATTCTATTGGTTTCATGTAGGATAATTATCGGCGCCAGCATTTGATGAGAGCATCTGAGCTAAACCATTTCCCCCAAACAGCGCCCTCAAATAGTCTTTGATCTATTCATGACTTGGGGTATGTGGGATGGGATCAGACATGTTGAAACACATCATTCGATATTGAAACCAATATTTGGGAATGAGAATGTTTGAACTGATGAATAAACCTCTAGGCTGTTTGATTCGGGAATGGGAGATTGATTATCACTATATATTTGGGGGTAGTAGCCTTTCTGATTAATCAACCAGGGTTTAGTCTCATCCCAACATCAACCCATTGCCCAGCCACCTGGTTTTATCATCCACCTGGGTTCGGCCATCCACCTATATATCACATATATATGTATACAATTATCACCATTATCATTATCACTATCATGATCATTATTGATCATCACACTATTATCAATATCATAGTATGACGATCATGATACTATTTCGAATAGTGCACACACTATTATAGTTATGACACCCAACTGATTAATAGTTGAATCAATAACTATATGAGCGACGGCTCTTATTTGCGTATATGGAAAGTAGTATTCGGAAGTACCCCGGTTTGTCAAAAACATTATATTTAGCTTGTAAAACGAGGTAGGAACACCCCGAGAACGAGGTAGGCAAAAACGTTACGGGACTGGAGAACGAGGTAGGAACACCCCGTCAATTGCGTTATGTAACAAATATGGTCCGCAGCTCATATATATATTTCCAGTGTTGGTTAGCCAAGTACTATCATGACCAACGAAGTCACGACCACTGATCATGAGAAAATCTATACAATTCTCACAACTATAAGTATAATAGTATGACTAGTATGACTAGTATGAATAGTATGAATAGTATGAATAGTATGAATAGTATGAATAGTATGAATAGTATACTATTCAATGGCCAACCCTCTCCTGCTTCGTTGTTTGCGGCTAGGCCTTGCACCTGGGAGGCGCTGGGCCACGGGGTATTTTCCAGCCACGTTTGATGACAGAGGGTAAAACTACATGTTTGATGGTCAAGTAGCCCGCTTTTGATGGCGAAGTACTCTCCTATAAACTATATATAATATATAGATTTAATATAGATGTGGAAAACCTACAGATCCTGTTCCTCGTTTTTATCCACGGGTTTTCCCACATCTTTTTTTTAGTTCACCCCAGCGTATCCCATTTCCCAGCCATTTTCCCATCCAGTTTTTTTGGAGGCGCCAGCGGTGGAAAGAATTCCTCAGCTCCGTGATTGTTGGGTCACTTATGACGACCTCGCCATGATCGCATCATTCAGATCTTTGAGATGATCGTTGGGATTTAGCGGAAATCATTTTTTGGAAACTATTTTTTTAAAGTAAAATCATCAATTGGGAACTTGTTGATGTACCCAATGATGTACCTAATTCAGAGGGTGCCACGGGCCATTTGCCACGAACCTGCGGGTCTGGAAGCCTCCAAGGTCAGCAGAGATGATGCTTCCAACGGCGGGAAAAAGGAACAACGTCCCAGGGTGCTTTTTTGAGTCCTAGAGGGTATATGGGATGTTCTGGAACACCGAAAAATGAGTGCAGTGATATCCATCAAACACCCAAAACTCAAAGATTCATCATTTTCGGGTAAATCTCATGGTTGCTGTATTGCTGTATGCCGGTTTTGATGGTACCGACGCGTACAACCTCTCCCTGCCAAGGAGGGTTTGAGTGCGATGTTTTTTCCTTTCATGGGAGTATGAACGGCTTCGAAAGGCTACGGCTATTTCGCCTAGAACAACAAAAGGAAGGGGTTGTGTTTAAGGCATTTGAGGCTTGTTTTCCCCCTTTGATTCCTGACTGCATCTTGCCTCAGCTTGGCTCATGGACACATGGTGTTGGCGGACAGCAGACCCTCAGCAAGCCATGCTCCAGGGAGTAAAACCTAGATTTCCCTTAGCTGAAACAAACATGGGCAGCTCATCCGGAAGAGGATGCAAACATGCAAAATCTTCGATCCGGTTCTTGGATTGTGACCTTGGATTTTGACTATGTATATATATATGATTATATATATATATGATTATATATATATATGATTATATATATATATTATACAGTATATTTATATATACATACACATTTGACCATAGTGAATCAAGGATCAGGATGGGTATAAGCCACATCAGCTTGATGTTTTATGCTCCTTTTCCAGTCATGGCATGCCCAGTGGGATGATTTGGAGACGAAGTGGTCTTGTACTCAGTGTGTGAATTTCAAGCCTCATATATTATATTATCAATGGGAATTTCAGGATCCTAAAATGGAGGTACTGTACCATATAAGGCCATATTTCGTGGGGATATCCCCTTACATAGGCCTTACATAGGCCTTATATATGGTAGGTACCTCCAATTTAGGTTCCTGAAATGGCCATTTATCATATATTATATTATGGTGATTCAGGATCACTCTGCGGAGATCTTAAAATGAAGGTATGTAAAATGCTGGAAGTGGGCAAAAAACCTTGACCATCTATTTCAAGAATGCTTATCGGGTGATTCGTGATGAAGATGGAGTGCCGGCTAAGTTGCTGGTATCTCCCCAGAAATTGGTGCTAATGACCAACCCACAGCCAGCACTGTAGTTATTCCTTTGGCCTTGTGGTTTTTTTATTCTCCCAGAAGTGTGTGGGGAACATGTCCAGGTTTTAGCGCAACAAAAGTTGGAGGTAATTTCACCATGGCTCCCATCATCCCATCCTCGCTCCCAAGGTTTGAGAGATGTCGATTGAGATACAGAAGCGGATCAAGGACCAATGGGTCTGTCAGTCACAATGAAATACTCCAAGAAATTCCAAGAAATTGTTTGAACGCGAGCAAGTCGTATCATCAAGTCAAGATCCTAACATGATCTATTCTGATCATTTCGGAATCTTAACCAGAGTACCAAGTCTTGACCCAAAACATGGTGGACGCCAAGTTGAAACTTCATAGATCACAGTATTCCCCAGCGGTTGACTTCGACAAAAAAAATCATCAAGACCCGCGGAGAGGACAATGCGACCAGCGTGTCCGACTTCTTTTCAGACCTCTACAAATGGACCGAGGAGAAAGCCTGGAAGCTGCCTGGTTTCCGCGGCAGTTGTTGTAACAGTAACGGCTGGATATATTCGAAATTGGGAGATGAATCACAATACGAGGCACAATCCCTGTGACCGTGGAAGGTCATGGTGTTTGGGATGGTATACTTTGGAAGCACATGTTCCGCTAGCGGCAGGCCTCTGCCAGGTCCACTGCGGGAAATCCACTGTAGTGGAAGCTGACTTTGCCCCATGCTAAACGGAATGATTCTCCATGCTTTTCCCAGTTTGCTGTGTTAAAATATCTTAAAGTTCCATGGCAAAAATATGTCGATCCTGACTTTGCCCCAGATTTAATGGGTGTTCTCCAAGCCATTCCAGGTCGATGATTTGCCATAAGGGCGGAACCAGTCTACCAACCCATAGGATCCATGGTGCTGCCATATATGGTAACATTTACCATTAATATACCCCCAATGTTAGCATATATACCAGCACCATGGATCCTATGGGCAATTTGACCTTTTACGTATCTGGGATGGCCAGCAACCTATTTGTTTCGATCGGTGGTCAGCTTCTCTTTGGCCATTTTTGGACCAAAAGTTAGGAGCAAGAGAAGGAAGAGAAGCGGCGGGAGATCCGTAAGACGGCCAGCAAAGTGGGCGTGAGCGAGGCTCAAAAGCTACTGGTTGGGGTGGCCCAGGGGCGCTATGACAGCCGCTATGGTCACGCAAAAAGAGGGGTCCTGGTGGATCTGGAAGATGACCCAGAAGCACAGCCCAATTTTGGGTGCGATTTTTTTTGGGGGGATATAGGATGGATGGAACTTGAAAGCAGTATCCATGAAGGCACATGGGTGAAATTATTTCGGGAAGACAATGTGATGAACAGTCTCCGATGAAATTGGGATCAGTGGTGTGTAAATGGGTATGACTCGTATGACTTCAAGGTTTTCGTGGGGTTGTGAATGATTAGAACCCGGTTGTGAAGCGGGTTGGTCAAAATTGTCAAAATGCTTTGGGCATCTCCTCTCGATGCTGCCATTTGACAATACATTCTGCATTGCGGTCCGAGACGCCCCATACGAATTGGGAAATATCCACATTTGGGGCTGGTACAAATATATATATATATACACATACATAATCATATATAAACATATTCCATGAAACTGAAACTAGCCATGGATTCCATCCTATGCTTCCAAATCGAGATTATTCGGTGACAAGCCATTCGGAATGGCACCACATGGCAAGGCCTAGGCTTAGGTCCCTAGGTTAGTGGAGATGGCCTAGATGAATTAGCTATTGATGGGGATGTTCCATAGCTGTGTTAAATTCATTTACTATAATAGTAATATATAGTAATATGGTATTTACATAGATGATATATTACTATGTAGCATTTTCTTGTTGCCCTCAGTGACTACAGTAGCACTTTGCGAAAATCACCACATTTTATAGGTACGCCATCGAACTTAATCACTTAATGGGCCGTTTTAACCGATCCGCAAACTGGGCATGGGTCAAAACCCGGCTACCCTAATGAAAGTCAATAGCTAGCTGGTATAGCTGGATGTTCTCTTACACATTTACGGAACACAATAAGTTTTGACCCATACCCATCACGTATATGATATATCAATATACAATTCTCATCAATTATCCATTATCATTACTATGTACTATGTATATCTATGTATATCTATGTATTATGTTTATAATTTGTTTTATCATACTTTTGTTCTTGTTGTTCTCCTGTCAGTGTCATTCTCAGCACACAGAGCTGCAAAACCGAGGCCAAGTCCCACGGCTCCAACGGCGGCTCCAACGGCTCCAATGGCGTGCCCGTGCGCAACGGCACCGCGGAGCTGGGCACGGGGTGCGGAGAGCTCGGGGGTGCCGGGGCTGGGTAGGGGGGTGCAGTTGGTGTGGGAGACACAACAGATTCCTTCTATCAGATCTATCAGATTTCTATAGAATCTATAGACAACATCTTTCTGATCGACTCTGGCGATTTTTCACATCGCCATGGAAAATCAACACCATGATATTAAGTTCGGTAAACCATCGAACTTTCTATGGTCCATGGCTTCCATGGTGAACTGCTAGTCACAACCAGAGGTCCGAGCCCACGGATCCCATCCGCCGCGATGGCACGGCCATGGCGCAGTGCCCCAAAGGGCGGAATGTCGGGGAAGGTGAAGTGATGGATTGATATGGGTTGATATGGATCAACACCTATGATTTATAATTCATATTGATTTATATTGATTTATATGATTTTCCATAGATATCTTGGTCAATGGATTGTTTTAAGGGAAAATCTGCAGGAAACCGTGGTTTCCCCCGTGAAATATAGGGAAGTTATAGGGCTTTCCTGTAAAATTTCCCGAAAAAAAACAATCCATAGACTTGGGGAAACCGAAGGTTTCATGTGAACCGAAGGGGTTTGTTTCGGGATGGGTGCCATGACAGATCCCCATGTCGAATGAGTGTAGATAGATACGGCCCATATAAAAAACAGGGGTTTTGACGAAGGTACTGGTAGTCACATGGCTAGCTGGCCAATCCCCGAACAAACTGGAGGTTTTAATGAGAAAATCCCGGAATGAAATGGAGGTTTTTGATGAAGATTAAAGAAACATGGCAAATACTTCAGCTTCCTGAATTGTAGCAAGATGTAGCAAGACTTTCCAGGGAATCTACAAGAATCTATGGGGAGTAGCTGCAATTCTCGGGCCTTGGCCAAAAACGGCGGTTGGGCCCCCAAGTTATGAAGTTCTCAAGGGAAATGAATGATTAAAAAAACAGGATATTTTGGGTGACAAAATTCTTGCTTATATTTCTGATGTGTTGATTTTACCTATCCGAACCTATCCGGATATGAAGGATAACGATGACGACGACGATGACGATGACGGTGATGACGATGATGATGATGACGACGACGATGATGATGATGATGATGATGTTGATGATGTTGATGATGATGATGGTGATGGTGAGGATGAGGATGAGGATGAGGATGAGGGTGAGGATGAGGATGAGGATGAGGATGAGGATGATTATGATGATGTTGATGATGATGATGTTGATGATGATGATAATGATGATGATGTTGATGATGATGATGATGGTGATGGTGATGATGATGATGATGATGATGTTGATGATGATGATGATGTTGATGATGATGATAATGATGATGATGTTGATGATGATGATGATGATGGTGATGGTGATGATGATGATGATGATGATGATGATGTTGATGATGATGATGATGATGATGATGATGATGATGTGGTGTCTTGGGGACGGGTCACCCCCCAAGAGCCAAGTGGGGATCATGGGACGTGGGATCATGGCATGACGCCGGAGATCATTCGAGGATAAAACAGTCATGTAGCTGAGATGCACCATAACAATCCATAAGGTACAACTATACAGTTAATATCTATCAATATCTATCAATATCTATCATTATCTATCAATATCTATCAACCTATCAATATCTGGCCATGAGAGATTCTGAATGGCAATCTGCCGACCTATCGACTGAGACTGAAAATTGTTCGTCAAGCCAAACTCCCAAGAAAACCTGCGTTTCTTGATGCTGGGGGTGGTCGTCTCAATTGTCAACCTCCGCGGCCTCCACTTCAGAATGGACAGATCAGATTCTCTTTTGAGGTATAATATTAATTGATTATATAATATTATGTATATACTGTAGAACTATTTAGAATATAGTAGCCCGAAAAGGATAGGGCAGCAATTTATCACGGTTTTAGATCCGTAATTTTACTTTTCTATCTTTTTGGGCGTTGGAAAAAAATGTTGGATCAGCCACCCACAAACCAGGTGAGGCGTTCGCTTGTGCCGCTTTTTTTTGCGTCGCTTGTGCCGCTTTTTTTTGTGTCGCTTGTGCCGCTTTTTTTTTGGTATCGGCATTTTTCCTGTAAATTATCGTATAAAATAGTGTTTTGACGTGTTGTTCTTTTGACGTCGCTTGTGCCGCTTTTTTCTTGGCGTCGGGTTTTGACCTGTAAATTTGCGTACAAAGTGGCGCTTTTGCGCGTGTTGTTTTTGATGTCGTTTGTGCGGCTTTGTAGTGGTATCGGTATTTTACCTGTAAATTTCCGTATAAAAGTGGCGCTTGTGTGCTTGCACGTCGACTGTGTTGCTCTCCCTCTGCGCGATCCTTATGAACATGAACCTTATTAACTCACCCCACCCCACCGGTAACTGATCATGAAAGAGCTGTGCCTGTCTCTGCTCAACAGCAAGAAAGATGATGAGGTTGCTGTGCCTGTGTGTGCATAGGAACATGAACGTTATCATCCCACCCCACCCCACCCTCCCCACCCTGAGGGTAACTGATCATGAAAGAGCAGTGCGTGTAAGTGCTCTACAGCAAGAAAGATGATGAGGTTGCTGTGCGTGTGCAGGCATAGGAACATGAACCTTATTAACTCACCCCACCCCACCGGTAACTGATCATGAAAGAGCTGTGCCTGTCTCTGCTCAACAGCAAGAAAGATGATGAGGTTGCTGTGCCTGTGTGTGCATAGGAACATGAACGTTATCATCCCACCCCACCCCACCCCACCCCACCCCCACCCCCCCCACCCCACGGGTAACTGATCATGAAAGAGCAGTGCGTGTAAGTGCTCTACAGCAAGAAAGATGATGAGGTTGCTGTGCGTGTGCAGGCATAGGAACATGAACCTTATTAACTCACCCCACCCCACCGGTAACTGATCATGAAAGAGCTGTGCCTGTCTCTGCTCAACAGCAAGAAAGCTGATGAGGTTGCTGTGCCTGTGTGTGCATAGGAACATGAACGTTATCATCCCCCCCCACCCCCCACCCTCCCCACCCTGAGGGTAACTGATCATGAAAGAGCAGTGCGTGTAAGTGCTCTACAGCAAGAAAGATGATGAGGTTGCTGTGCGTGTGCAGGCATAGGAACATGAACCTTATTAACTCACCCCACCCCACCGGTAACTGATCATGAAAGAGCTGTGCCTGTCTCTTCTCAACAGCAAGAAAGATGATGAGGTTGCTGTGCCTGTGTGTGCATAGGAACATGAACGTTATCATCCCACCCCACCCCACCCCACCCCCCCCACCCCCCCCACCCCCACCCACCCCCACCCCACCCCACTGGAACATGAAAGAGAGAGGTTTATCTTGCTCTAAGGATCGTTTTTTGCATTTCGTGGAAGCGCAATTTCGTGGAAATTTACAGGTAATCAGAGGTTTTTCGGCGCAAGTGATGTCGAAAATATGTGGGGGTAATTTTCGGCGTAAGTGACCTTAAAAATTTCGGCGTAAGTGAACGTGGGACCCACAAACCACATCAGTGGATGTTCGTTTGTGAAACGAGTTTTTTTTTGGGCACGGCTCCACCAACTTCGGGATTTTTTCACCAAGAATTGGATGAGGGGAACATCTACAAGAAACCTCCTATTGGCGGGCAACAAACTGATGGTTCCCTGTAGATTTTGAAGTATTGGACATAAATTTCGATCATAAATCAAACCACCATAATGCATTGAAGATTGGTTCAATTTGAACTACGAGGTCGTTCAAAGTGACCCAAAAACATCTCGAGGTGTAAAACCTTGACCCCTGAAATGGCGCTGAAAGGGCACGACCACTGTGTCAAGAACTTGGGACCAGACCAATGGGTTTCCTGTTAAGGGAGACCACTTTCCCTATTAAAACTGCAATTTTCTGTACATATACTCCATTTTCAGATACATCCATGTCAGAATTATTGGTTTCTATTCAGGTGATCAACTGCAGGCAATGCGTGCATTGCATGGTCAAGAAGGTGGAGACGCGCACGCGCAGGAAGTCAAGGTTGTTCGGTGAGAACTGGAGTTCGCATGCCTTGAGCCTGCGTATGTTTCAATACACACCTTCTGGCAATCAACGACATGGCAATTGGAAGCATGGATCATGGGACACTCATCCATAAATGGGGACTTTTCCAGCACGCCATGTTTGAGTACCAGAGGGGACTGATTTGTATGAGTTAGAATCCATTTCCTTGATGTGGCACTTTACCATGATCAAAAGCGGTATGTTGGGTTAGGTGAGGGGCAAAAGGCCATTGAACCTGAGTTTCAGTTTCTTCAGCGCCCCAATAATTGCACCACGAATGCCAAAGATGAGGTCCCAACATGAACAGAAGCATAAACCAGAATGTCTTGAGGCTCTTCACGGATTTAAAGGTGACCGTCTGTGAACTTCATTTCCACACTGTTGCGGCTTCTGGTGGGAGGATGAGTTTGACCAAGCACTGGCCGCGGCTTGTGGCAGTTTGAGCCACGGTCATTTAGGCTAGAGCCGTTTTGTGGCACAAATGCTCTCGGGCCTGGAGTCGCGCCTGCACAGGGCCAGGGCCCCACAAGCATGAGCGCAGCCCAGCCGTGGTAGGTACTACAGCGACTGGGACCAATATGAGCCCGATGCTGAAGTGGACAAAATCGAGGACGAGGCCAGGCATCGACCAAGTTTGCCAAAAAGCCGGCCATAACAAGTATTTCTTTCCAGTTGGGCAACATGTTTGATTGAGCCCAAGAGGCGCCTATGCTTGGCCCCTGTCCCTGTTGTATTGCCAGCGCAGGGGCGCCGACAGTTGTGATTTTTTATTCGATCAACTCCACAAGGCAAGCCTCCCATATTTTGTGATTTCGGCAGGGCTTTTCACAAAAAGAGCCGCCTGACTAACACTTCAGCGTGCCATCTTTAACAGCTCCCGGGCTCCATGGCGGATAAATCGAAGCCCCCAAGAAGGATACATTGCCGCCTGGTAGAATTGCATGATCTTCCATGTCAACGTGTTTTTCCTTGGCCAATGGGTGTTTGTCAACCTTCCATGATCTTGGGGCGCCCTGTTTTAGGAACCACCTATATCACTTCGTGATAGCCCGGCATTAGCACGCTAGCCAGGCATTTCAACAGCAGAGAGCAGAACGGGAGGCTCGCCAGGCGAGTGGTTTGGCAACATGGATGGCGCATGCCCGAATCTTTGAATCACTGTGTGGCATGGGGTTGGACTTCCATGTCCAAACTGGGGGCCAGAAAGTTCATTGATTTGTTGATGTCATGAAAACAATCCTTTGTCTAACTGAAGTCCTTTTTTGCTTGAGCAATGTCTTGGCAATGGTTGGAAATTCTAATCACATGAAATTTAACAGTTAACTCCCCCCCGGGGCTGTGTTGGAGACAGTTTTGCTGGGGCTCGATCCCCCTGGACCATTGCATCATCGTCATTATCATCACAACCCTCATTATCACCACCCTCATCCTCATCCTCATCCTCATCCTCATCCTCATCCTCATCCTCATCCTCATCCTCATCCTCATCCTCATCCTCATCCTCATCCTCATCCTCACCACCATCATCATCATCATCCTCCTCATCCTCCTCCTCCTCCTCATCCTCCTCCTCCTCCTCATCATCATCATCATCATCATCCTCATCCTCATCCTCATCCTCACCCTCATCCTCATCCTCATCCTCATCCTCACCATCACCATCATCATCATCATCATCAACATCATCATCATCATCATCATCATCATCATCATCATCCTCATCCTCATCGTCATCGTCATCGTCATGTTCTTCCTCGCCACCATCATGATCATCGTCATCATCGTCATTATCGCCATCACCCACATCATCATCAACATCAACATCAGCATCAGCATCAACATCAGCATCAACATCAACATCAGCATCAACATGAGCATCAACATGAGCATCAACATCAGCATCAACATCAGCATTATCAGCACGCCGCGACCATGACCAGGAGCAGGACCAGGAGCAGGACCAGGAGGACCAGGACGGACCAGGACGGACCAGGAACCAGGAACCAGGAACCAGGAACTAGGACCAGGACAGGACGAGACCAGGACCAGGACCAGGACCAGCCAGCACCAAGACCACGACCAGGACCGAACCAGGACCAGGACCATGACCAGGACCACCACCACCACCATCATAGTCACTGTGCAGCTTCCGTATGTCTTCCATCTTCACGGATGCATATTTTGTTTGTACGAATAACTTCTTCATCTCCATTTTCTTCCTCCTCCTGTTGCTCCTCGTTGCACCCACCCCGCTGGCTTTCGTTCCTCACCCTTCGGCCTCAACTATATTATCTTCATTTCACGGGGTTGAAACTTGAAAGCCAACTGAACGAGCTGCGGGCTTGAAGTCAGGCGGAGAAAGATCGGATCCTGGATGAGATGGCTCGGTTCCCCAGGCCCCAAATTTCCGCGGACTAATTTAAGGGGGTTCTTATAATGGGGGATTCTCAAAACCATGGGTTTCTATACTAAATTGGTTTCATTACTTGGATTTTTTGGGGTGCCCACCATTTTAGGAAAACCGTCCCTTTTGATGATACGGACATTTGAACTTAGTCTTTAAAACCCTGGCATGGAAGGGTGCCGCCATACTGTTGGTGAGTACAAAAACATTAGATGAATTTGGCCACGGCCTCACTGCGAGGTTACGCTGTAAGATTAAGATGGTTACATCGTATCCCCAGATGGCAAAAATTCAGTTTAGTGAATTCGTGTAATTCTAGGCCCTTGATTATATGAAAGACTACGGGCGGGTCAGAGACGGCTTTTCAAAACTGAGGAGTATGGTACGACGAGTTGGGGATGCGGGGGTGAAGAGCACGGGCCTACTTGGCCCAACCTAAGCCGACTAGGGTCAAACTTGGTCGTCCTTGGCCTTAGGTTCTGTCGAGCGAACCGACTTGAGCCCAACTTGCGCCTAACTTGCGCCAAACTTGAACCACTTGCCCCCCAACTTCGGCCCAACTTGGGTCCAACATGCCGCAACTTGGGCGCGTTTGGGCGCAAATCGGGTCTAACATGACGCAGTCGTGTCCTGCGTAGGGGCAGTGTTGTGCAAGTTGGGCTCAACGCAGGCCCAACGTGGGAAACATGGCCCAGTACGAACCCCCATCGAAGCGCCATGCTATGCACATGTAGGCCAACTCATGTCCAACATGGCGCAACTTGAAGCCCTTTCGCGGCAACTTCGCAACAAGTTGGGCCCAATGTAGACACAACATGGGAACCATTGTTCGACACGAAGCTTCATCGATGCCAAAAAACGTTGGAAATACCAGTGATAATGGATGTTTGGAGGATTTCATATTGGGCTGGCCATGTCCGCCATTTTGAAGCCATGTGGACCTCAACTTGGGCCGAAGTTCCTCCCAAATGGGTCAGTGGCGCTATGTTGGGCAAACTGATTGGGCCCATGTTGCGGAGATGTAGGTCGAACTGATGAATTTGGCTGTGCAAATATGTGAAACGTGCAAGTTACCGCAGTGGGAACTTCTTTTTGGCCGCCGTCCCGGGAGGGTGCACGCGCTGCGTTGGGCACTGACTGGTGCCAAGTAGAAAAACCCTTTGTTTGAATGGATGGCTGGCAGTCAGTCAGAATCTCACGCCCAGATCCCCTGAAAACATAGGTTCAAGGAGCTGCCTAAGTTTATGGTTGTGTTTTAATATCCAAGACTTGAAGACCTTGGTGAGTGAACGCAAAATCGTCCAACGCGTTGTGCCGCTCGATGCACCGTTGTATAGCATTAAATGCTGTTGCAAAGAATCAAATATATCTAATTATATTTTATTTAAACATTAGAGAACATTGTTAAATTTATTTACCAGCAAACACATACCCCATTATATTCGATTGTATCCCACCATAAACCAGTATATTGTATGCCATGATATTCCAAATTCCAAAAAAATCCAAATGTTCCGCTGAAACTTGGTGTGGCTACACCGAGGCCCTGAAACCCAACGGTGACCGCAGCCGAACGTCAGCCGCCAGACCCAGGGTGAAGGCTGGGACTGATGGGATTGGTGTTGGATGAGGGGATGGCCCTTCACTGTCATCAACCTTGGCTGGGAAAGGAAATCCCCGAACTAGCCATGGAGGTTTATAACTGGAAAAATCATGAAAAATCAACATGTTTTGTATTTGAATGTGGTTTTATAGGCTCTTCATGGTTGAACAAGGATAAAATTGGGATAATCATGCTAAGATTTTCGAACAAAACCATGTTTGATTACTGCAGGGTGTATCAATTTTACTTGGGATATGAGATTCAACATCATTGAACTTGGAGTTTCGCATTCCCTCATGGACTTTCCATCTCAGGATGCTAGTTTGTCTCACTAATCTCCTCCTGTGGATCCCCATATGTTTGGTGCTCAACCGATTCTTCTGGATGAAAGAGATCACGACAGATCACGACCTCACCGTGAGCGACGATTGTTGGAATGATCTTCCTACGGGGGTAAATGGCTGACATTTTGAGCGGGAATTCTTGTAATGCATGCAGACTTTTTGGATCACCACATTGATGTGATTGTTTTATTATTGTTTTTCTGAGTGAAAAACATCTTGGCAAATCATCAATGGCATAACTTAACCCTTTGAACAACCCCTTTAAGGATCTTTAAGGATCTTTAAGGATCTTTAAGGGATATAACCCCTTTAAGCATTTAAGATGGAACCCCACATTTTGATGATGTGCGGGCTGCATGACCTCAAAACTTCATTTCGGATATATTCGGCAACTGGATTTTTATGATTTATACCCTCTACCCTCTACAAATCTAAATTTAGTGGGGATCGGAAGTTGATGAACGGCACTCAGAGACGGCTGGCATTCCATATTTAGGGAGTGTTTGACACACTGAAAAACCACAGATTTTGATTTTGGTCAGTTTTTTCATCTTGACGAGTTAGGGATGGGTCGGTACAACATCTTGATTGAAGAAACATACAGAATTTTGGCGTGAAGTACAGGGTTTTATAGGGTTTTGACTCAATATTTTACCCACGGGAAATAACTGGGACGACTCGAGCAGAAGAATCAATTTCCTGCGAAAAAAGGAGCATGGATCAGCAAGCCCCAAAGTGTGTTGCTTAGAGTCTCCAGGAAATATGGAGCAAATTTCACCATTTCTGGATTCAAGATCATTGAAGCTTCGTTTTCCATGGTTTTCGTGGATTTTCCATTGGATTTTCCATCTCAGACTCTCAGTTTGTTTCAGGGCCAACCACGATGGCCAATTGTCGGTGGTGTCCAACATGGTTGATGTGAAAATCTTCATCATATCATATCATATCCTCATCATGTCCTTAACACACTGAACAAAACATGGCTGAGATCATATATCATCTCAGAATAGGAATTCCAGTGTGTTGTTGTTAAGCGAACCCGGAATGATGATCTGAAATGGGACCGATCCCATCTATAAAAACAACAGAAATAATTGACATTGTCTTGTATTGTCTAAGAATCCCAGTTTCAGAATGTTTAAGTCACCTTAACCCCCACTTTCGATGATGAAGCTCCCAAAAAAACATGATTGCGGGATGGGATTCGTCCCATTGTCATTTCAATACCCGATCAGGAAAATCACGGAAAATCCCATCAATTATCTTCCCAAACTGACTGAATAGATCGAAATAGCTCGCGGATTCTTTTTCAATAGCTCAGCCAAATACCAAAAGGATCCAAAAGGAACCTGCGGACGCACCTGCGGACGCCAAGCTGCGCAGGTGTCAGTGCGCCGTAGTGGCCGAAAAGTGGCACCTGTGGATCTGGCAGCCCCACGCAAGGATGAGGTGGGCGGGGGGGTACGTATGCATTGAAACTAATACCTGTAATACCCCAGTAATCCAGTAACAATGGGTCTAAATTCATTTACTGGGATTTATGGGTCTAAATCTTGTAATAATCTATTTACAAACTAGGATTAGAAGATATCCCAGTTTATAGGATAAACGCCAGAAACTGGGGATGGTGTAGTAATACCACCCACTTGTGATAAAATTCGGGGATTGTGTCTTACTGGTGTTGCCAAATTTCATGGGTGTTACATAGAAAGGTCCAACTTTTTGCACCATGTTTGCTGATCTAGCACCTGCCAGAGTGGTGGCAGTGAACATGAGGAAACACTGTACCCAACAATAACACACAACAACAACTTAGGTGTAGGCAAAAGATGATAGTATAAAGGTTCCAACTGGTTCGTTTATTTTGGGGGATTGAAACCATGGGGTGAACCAAGAAAGGTATAGATATGGAGGTTTCCTAAAATGTGGGTACCCCGAAATCATCCATTCTAATGGGATTTTCCATGAAATAAACCATCCATTTTGGACATCCCTATGACTATGGAAACTCCCCTGATATGTGCAATGAATTTGACCCATCAATGGGAGAATCCCAGCGAATCTCGCAATTTATTCCTGGACATTTCGTGGGTTTTTCACATTGACCGATGGCCAAGATATGCCAAGATTATCCCATATCACCAACGAGTTACATCTCTAAGTACTGTAGCTTGTTGGTAAAAACATGCTAAATACTGTCTGGTACAAGAATCTGATTTGACAATCCTTAAATATTTGTGCATGATTCGCCAATTATTCAGGTGGGATATTTTTAAAATATTCAGATGTGCAGATGTTTATCTGGGAATATGGGAATCACCAACTTGAAGATTCTTTACTTCTCATATTTCCCCCCAATTTGTTAATCGCTTTGCCCATTGGATTGGTTTAAGGGAAAATTTACAGGAAACCTCCATATTTAGTGGTAAAAACCATGGTTTCCTGTAGATTTTCCCTTAAACCGATCCAATGATTTGCGATTTTTGCGAATTATTTGCGATGTCTGCGAATTGTCTGCGAATTTTGCGAATGATTCACCAATCATTCGGGATATTTGTCTAAGATTAGTACCCTCCGGCAATCAAACACGTGGCAAATATCTCATTCATTGATTTCTCGCGAGTGGGATTTCTCAGACATTATCTCAGTATATCCATTCATATCCTGGTTGATGGTTTGGAACATTTTCATTTTTTCCATTGGGAATTTCATCCCATTTGACGAACTCACTCCATCATTTTTCAGAGGGGTAGGGTAGGGTAGGTATACCACCAACCAGATGATTATTAACCATCATTAACCATATAATAACCATATATTAACCATGGTGATGGGGTAGGTTGAATTTAGGGAATAGCCCATGACTATCCCTATGAAATCCAGCAGAGGCCAACCGCCTCTTTGGCGCGGGGAGATATCGCGAGGACGGCGAAGGGCGATGGCACGGGATGGGGAAGGAACGAAGGAACGAAGGGTGGGAAACTTTGGAGTGGAAACTCATTTTTTTTTCGAATGGCACAGAAATGATGGAAAAACATGGAAAGTGAATATTTGGGAAGAACCATGGAAAATCACATGCAAAATTGTTGGTCGAGTTTTCCCTGGGGTCCCCTGGGGTCAACCAACATTGAGAAAAATATGGAGAACAGTCCTCCGCGGAAACCTTTCGAGACCTGTTTTCATGGTGGATTTTCCATATATTATGTCTTTGGTCCTGGAAGTTCTTTGGCTTGGGATGTAACGTTTTTTTTTCCAACTGCAGGTTTGTCTGAAAATGGAATGCCCCGAATTCCACTGGTAAAGCGCCATTTTCCCTATGAAAAACTTGCCTTAACTGGGGGTAAGCTCCATTTTCCGACATGCCCATATTTTGAACATTTGGGAATTTCAACCAAAGGCAGCAACTTATTTTTTTTGCCGTGTGGTCACCGGACCAACGAAAACTGGTTGAGGAAAATCTACACATTGTGGATTTTCCATCCTGCCCGTGTAGATTCTTGCTGGAGCAACCCTCCCAAAAGATAGAACAGGCTAGGCTTACCACTTTATTTAGTAAGATTCAAAAGCATATGGAAAAAGAGTTCTTGAATTACGTTGAACAGCGGGAATTTCCTTTTCGATTATTTTAGGGGTAGTGCTACCAATTACATCCCAAGAAATCGGACGGATTATATCCCCCACCGTGGTACCACCATTTGATGGTTTAACAACCAATGGTAATTAGGATGATTCAATACAAGGATCGAATGGGTATATCAATGGGGTATATCAATGGGTTATATATTAATGGTAAATCACCATGAAACAATTAAATCAGCATTAAATCCCATTAAATGTCATGAAATCCCATGAAGTCACATTAAATCACCATGACATAGCCCCCGTCTCGGATGATTTCTACCACTGCCCTACACCAGAGGCGATCGCTTCCTACACCGCTGCCCTGGATTGCCTGGAGAAGTACGAGCCACCGGACGAGCCAAGCGATCAGGTGTGAAGAGTGGAGTGGAGTTTTTGTGTGTTTCCTTTTTTTTTTTTGAGAGGTTATAACATGGTTATATATAATATAATATATCAATAATATATATATATGTACAATAATATGATGTAATAAGATGTAACTAATATAATATATGTATTGAAATGTACATAATATGCATAATCACGCAACACACAAGACATAATTAATACACAAGGCAGAATTCAGAATTCATAATACATACTTGTAATACACAACGCATGAAACATGAGACAATACAGCATACATGTACATATACAAACAACTTAATACACAATACACAACACATGATACATGATACACAATACGTAATGCATTGTACACAAGACGCAATACAGGCAATACATAGTACACAATACATAAGACACAATGCACAATACAAAAGACAGAATGTATAATGCATACAAATGATGCACATAGATATGCATATGCATATACATATACACATACATATACATATACACATATCCATATTGTAGCATACAATATAATACAACATAGCACGACAGAACATCACAGACTTGAATCAATCACAATATAATCTAGATATTCACAAATAAAGTTGGGGATGCGAAGCGGAAAAACATGAGGATTTGAACTACCGATATTCCCATAGAGGCTGATCATACACTCAGGTTTTTTTTCCCCCAAATCAACTTTATGTTCACATGGGTATATCCGAGAAACATGGTTGACACATGGTTGATTCATGTTGATTCATGAGTATCTCTTCAAAAATGGACCATCGATGAGGGTCAACTCTGCAGGGGTCCTTCATTTTGGTGCACAACAGTGGAGGTCTTGCATGAACCTTGGGATGTCAATGAATTAAACAGTGCAAAGTGATGCGAACTGCACAGGCAAAGGGGGAGAATGGCCGAAAACTCAGTTTGCACAAGTGCAGTGGTGAGGTTAAAGATTCATGGGCCCGGAGATTTTGGGCTGCTTTTCACATATGACACTTCCTCCCAAAGTGGCCAAATCTCCACTATGTCCATAGCATTTTGGGGAGCCAGTCTTATTGAACATGTCCAACATGGTCAACTGAATACCGCCTTTCATGACTTTCAAGAGGTTCAATATGGTTCAATATAGCCTGAAACGCGAGAGTTTCAGTGTTTTTCTCATCGCCAGTTTATGACAGTCAGACACCTCACAGTTTGATCAAGTTTATGGTAAAACTCCTTGAAATCATGCTACTTACAGGTCGAAACAGTAATGATTTTCATGCTACTTACAGTAATCAAACGTGGCAAGTTCCCATTTGTAGATGATTTTCCCTTTTATATGAACCATTTAAAATCAATTTTTTAGTTCGTTTGAATACTGGAGGTGGTGTCGGGCCTGATCATGACAGTCCTGGGCAAGAACAGGAAGCGATTGCCTTAAAGGTGGATGGGGATGGGATGTGCACGAATCACAAACCATACATCGAAGGTTTCGCCTATCGTTTTCTAAGTATTGATTGTTCAATACTAGTAAATCTACTATAGGTTGGTGATTTACCACTTAGTGAAGCGTTTACTACGCGGCTCCGGCACATCCGAGCGGTCGATAGATGGGAAACTTCGAGCTATGAGGACTTACCGAGCGTTTGAGGTTGAAGATTTACCGAGCGTTTGCCATTAAAAAATGGGATGATATTCCCGTACGATCCTAGGACTTTGACATTTTCTATTTGTAATTTTGTTTTTTCTTTATTTATTACTCCCTTCATTTTATGTTGTTTCGGAGCGCGCTGGTCCGGAGATTCACAATCTGGAGAAGCACAAACAATATGACTTATAATATGACCAAATCTGCAAAACTAAGGAAACAACACAAACATATTTTGCTTCTAGACATAGTCCGGAAATTGGGCCAAAGTCGTTAAGTAGGGAGTGCCAAAACGGCGGATCGACACTTACATGGTTTTGATTTGACATATCATGAGCAAGTGAGTCATTTGGAACCCGAGCCATACCAGGGTCAATGAGCATGGTGTAATATCATGTAATATCCACTGGTTTCAATCACTATCTGTTTTTTGTGTTTCAGAAAGTGCACAGTGTTTTCATGTTCAAAAGCGTATATGACCTGTTTGAAAGTACGGTGTACACATTCCATCCCACGGTTCAAAGTGTGAAAACTCACCGATTGAAACAGCCATAGATTCGGGTAAATCCACACATTATCTCTCCCATACATCCCATGAAAAATCTCCCATTAAATCCTATTATCTGCATAAGCACACACTGGTGATACATATATATATACATAATATACACATACATGTCACACCACATATCCCCCTATGTACAGAAAGTTTCTATCCCCATCTTCGGTTTATCCACGATCCGCGCAGGTGGCGTTGTTGGCCAATCGCGCACTGGCGTGCTTCAAGTTGGAGGAGGGATAGGTTGTCAGAATCGCCTGGTGATTGGTTCTGGAGAGAATTCTTGGATTTTCATGGAACTAATTAATGATATACATGATATACATCCCGGCGGAAGGGAAACCGCGCGAGCGTTTTGATTGGTTGTTTCCAGGAGAGTCACAATCACCTGTAATTTACAATATAAAATGCTCTTCCGATCAGTTTGGATAACTGAATTTGGGTTAAAACAAGTGGATGCAAAATCTATTGATTTTTAACAAATCCAGGTAAACATCATGTGCATCAGACGTGGATGCGCAGATTTTTTTTCACACTCTTCGTCGGCTCAGCGATCCATCAGTGTGGAAGCTGTCTTCGACAGCAAGTTGCCATTATGGCACTCATAACGCGTAGCAACCTGTAACGTAGTAAACGATCACAGAGATCTCAGCAGCGTAGCAACATGTAACGTAGTAAACGATCCCAGAGATCTCAGAGATCTCAGCAGCGTAGCAACATGTAACGCAGTAAACGATCCCAGAGATCTCAGCAGAGTAGCAACATGTCACGTAGTAAACGATCCCAAGATCTCAGCAGCGTAGCAACATGTCACGTAGTAAACGATCCCAGAGATCTCAGCAGCGTAGCAACATGTAACGTAGTAAACGATCCCAGAGATCTCAGCAGCGTAGCAACATGTAACGTAGTAAACGATCCCAGAGATCTCAGCAGCGTAGCAACATGTAACGTAGTAAACGATCCCAAGATCTCAGCAGCGTAGCAACCTGTAACGTAGTAAAAGATCCCAGAGATCTCAGCAGCGTAGCAACCTGTAACGTAGTAAAAGATCCCAGAGACCTCAGCAGCGTAGCAACATGTACGTAGTAAGAAAGTCCCAAGGATCTCAGCAGCGTAGCAACATGTAACGTAGGAAACTATCTCAGAGATACCAGCAGCGTAGCAACATGTAACGTAGTAAAGGATCCCAGAGATCTTAGCAACATCGCAATATATCCTGTACGAAGTACGAGGAACGTTAACATGCCCCCCCACCCCACCCCACCCCAACCCCAACCCACACTAACACGGCAATATATCCTGTACGAAGTACGAGGAACGTTAACATGCCCCCCCACCCCACCCCACCCCAACCCCAAGACAAAGAGCAATACTCAAAAAGAAGCAAAACGCACGTACGGTTTTCCTGCCGTAGGCATATACATGATATACATGATATACATGATATACATGATATAAATTAAGTTAATATAACCATACACTCATATGATTTGGGGTTCTCTGAAAGTCGGGGAGTTTCGGCAGAATAACGGTTTTTCCCTCTGGTATTCAAACGTGGCAATGGAACATCTTCCCCTTTATAGTTTTCATTTTAAAACCTCCATTTGTAGCGGATTTCCCAGCCGGCCACGTTTGATTACCTGAGAGTACCACAGTGTGGGCTATCTGACTGCCCCATGTTTGACCCATCCCCCGTGGGGTTTGGAACCGAAGACGGGCAACCCCAAAATCCAGTCATTGATCATCATTTTCCTTGTTGAACCGGTCATTTTTTGGTTATACCCTCTGGTTATTTAACATAGCCATGGAAAATGGCCCATTTATAGATGGTTTACCTATTATAAATGGTGATTTTCCATGACTATGTTAAATAACCAGAGGGTAATTCCACTGTTTCAGAAAAACGAATTCTGGACCGTGAGAAGAAAAGATCATAGGTCAGATCATAGGTCTTCGATCAACACAGACATTCTAAGCTGAGTATATTAGATACTGGTTGGTGGTTTGGAACATTTTTTATTTTCCTTAATATATGGGATAATCCTTCCCATTGACTATTATTTTTCAGAGGGGTTAAAACCATCAACCAGTATATATGGAGGTTTCCTAACATGGGGGCACCCCATATCATCCATTTCAGTAGGAGTTTCCATTGTCCGCACGGCACTGGCACATGTGCTATCATGTGCTCAAGACTCCGACGAAGTCTCGCTGACCACGATGTTCATGACTTGAGATTTTCTGAAAGTGATGTGAACACATCCATTTCTCATCACAGCAAAATTGCTCGTCTTTTGGCAAAACGAAACTCGAGTTGTGAGAAATCCGGAAAATCGCATCTTGCGATCCATAGCCGCTATAGCCATGTGGGTGAGCAAAATGGCTCGTCCCATGTATTTTGGCGTCCGCTTCCCAGTGGTCCCAGTGCTCGTTGGCTGGCGGCTGGTCACTTGGGATGGTCGTGACCATCCCATTTTTTTTGGGTCCTTGGCTTTTCCATCATGAATTTCCATGAATTTCCGACCATCCCATTGTGACTTTTTGTATGACTGGTTGTATTGAATTCTCGCTGGATGTGAAAATTGTGTTCTTTTTTTTTTTTCCGATAGTTAATTTTGCCAGTCGGAATTAATTTAGCATTCTATGCTATTGTAGTTGACTTAGTTAACACCCAGTCTAGATGATGGCATTATGGCAGCTTTGAGGTCCTGGTGCTTCTCAGACTAGCAGATGCACAGGACCAGCGGCGGGAAATGGAATATATGTTGGCCCATGTTGGCCCTCTGGTAAACAAAGAAACAGCTATGGAAAATCACCATTTGTATTAGGCAAATCAACTTTCATCACCAGATGGTAGGATGGAGAGAAGTAATTGACATGGATTAACATGGTAGAGAGTAGTAGAAGCTGATAGAAGCTACCAGTACTTGGCTCAACACTTGGCATAAACGATTATTAAAATTAAGATAATGGTTTACTGCTTAATGATTGGTGTTGACTTGGAACTTTAATGGAATGTACTTACCGGTGGTATAGATGGCCATTTATGAATGATAGACCTAGTAGAAAATGGTGGTTTTCCATGGTTTTCCATACCTTAAATACCCAGAGGGTAGCCAAATGGCTTGTTTTCCGACGCCTTGGAGGAGAATTTTTGTACCCGGGAATACTTGAGTTGGATAGCTCAGCCCGGTGAATAGCACGGAAAGGATCCAGAAATCATGGGTAAAAATGCCAGAAATCATAAGATGACTGGCAACTCGTGTCAGGCATTGAATTTATTCAGCACAGAATTGATTCAATGAAAACGATACAACCATTTTTTTTTACGGCGAAGTCTATGGTTTCTGATTCTTCTTGAAGTCTTCAAGTCTGAGAAACTCAGGTCACTTCGAAGGTTTTCCGATGCGACTCGATTCCAGCGTGTACTGGTTGGGGTGCTCATCCTGGGTTGGACCGTGAATTGAAAAATCGTGAATTTCCCCCCAAAAGGAGCTGTGCATAAAGGGGCGGATGTCCCCATTCTGACACATACAGCCACATTATGTTGTAATATGTTGTATACAACACATCCACATATGCGTATACATATACATATATAATCATATATAATCATATATATATATGTGTGTGTGTGTGTTGACATGTCGAGTCACTGCTTTGTCTCGCAACCACTGAGAAATGGACACTCCGACATTCCCAACACTGTTGGAGATCATTTGGGGATGGATTGCGGGATGGTCATCTCCTGATTGGGTCCCATGATGGGACCATGATCATATGCCTAGCCCATAGCATGTTGAAAAACCATGGCACATGTGTCCTGCAAGAGGACAGTATCATGATATACCCACATGTCTAGTCCCCAACAGTCGTTGAGTCGTTGATTTCGTCCAAAAACATGGTAACACGGATTTACACAACAAAAATCTCAACGCCCTACACGATTGTAGAAATACGTGTCACCAAAAACATGGCCGGTGACGACATCACCTGAGGTTTGGTCCCAATGACCAAAGTGAAAAGGCGCCATTTCTGGGCCATTTCTCAGCGCACGTTTGGTCCACCGGCACAGCGACGAAGGGGTAAAAAAGTGACTATATATTGTGACAAAACGGTGACCTTTTAAAGTTGTTAAAAGTGATTCCTGTTACAAAGTGATTATTGTTGTTAAAAGTGATTATTATTAGTAATGGATGATCTTTTGAACATTGGCCCTGCATATCCAGTGTTGATTGATTGTATTCCATGATATGTGGCTGGCATTTCCCTACTTTTGTAGATGTTTCTTCTTGTTGAATTCTGCTTGTTGAATTCACATGTTGCAGCAGAATACCGACCAACCTCCATAAGTCTACGCCAGTGTCTAACCCCCGGTCAGAAGTCGCTCAGCAGCTCAGCAGGCTACCGGCTCAGCGTCGAGGCCCAGTTGAAACCAGAGATATTTGACCACAAATATGGTGATTTATGTAACCTTCAATAAACAAAAATGACAATTCTTGAGGACTGAGGACGGGTTTGTAGAGTCTTGTTTTTGTGGAAACTCTTAAACGGGGTATCCATACTTTGGTAGAGCTTAGTTGGAAAGGCCCTTGTGCTGTTGGCATCTCACCCCCAAAGATGTCCCTCGTCTGTGGTCAAGGTTGAAGTCGACCAAAATTGTACGGCTCTAGAACAAATCGCAGAAACTCACCAGTCAGTGGTTTCGCTGATGTTTGACTGGTCTTGAATTTTGACCAGCCACAAAGTAAACAGCCGGCGGGGCCATATCCCATGCCAATTGCCTCTGGTCCAAAAAGTGGCCAAAAAGGTGAACCTATGTGAAACCCAAAGCCTGGATTGCAGGTTTTACGATCCGAACAAGCCTACGATGCTGTATTTCCATGGCTGGACTGGGCAAGGTGCTTTTTTCAGAGTCGAGGGATGTGAGATGGAGATGGGGCACATGAAATAGATATGCTGGATTATGCTGGTATGGGCCTTATGGATCCTTATGGATGTTCATCCCCTCAACATATATGTTGTGATGGGTGTTCCATACCCAACTATGTTGAAACTATTACATCTATTACAATGGAAAATACTGATTATTAATGAGGGTCAACCGCCATAAACCATCCCCAATTGTGGCATTCTGAGGGTATCATAGACCCCTGTCCTGTTTGGGATGGTGTACATGACGCCCAGTTTTTCGAAGAATCTCTACTGGTTGATTATTGTTTGCATGGCTGCATAGCGTTGGATATTGCTTCACAGGGGGGCACGTGACGGTCACTAAGATTCGGTACTTTCTTGTGGTTGAAAAGATTGGATGGGGCAAAAGTCCGAAGATAGCCGCCTGACACGAGCCTTGCCTTCAGAAATGCTAGAAGCATTTCCAAGATGCAAAGTCTGTGACTCTGGCAACTGTTGTGGAGGCTTAACTCCTTCCTGCTTCGCTTCCTCATCTATCTTGTTCTGGGCATTTTGACTTGGGGTTCCTCATGCTGGCAGGCAATGGCTGGACCAGCAAGTGCAAGCGCTTGACAACCCGATGACGCTCGGCAGATGATGCTTCTGATACAACTATGACATAGTATGTCGCATATTGTAGCTAGCAATGTAGTATAACATGTAAAACTATGCGGTAGCCTACACCTGTTTCAACTGAATTTCAAGCCATGGTGACGCTCCTATGACCTGGAGACGCGACTCGTCTTTCGTCGCTGCCGAGGTCATTCGGACGTGTGTCCCGATGGTGGCGGACAACTCTTGGTGAATGACTGGCTCGATGAAGGCGGATCGGGGCGCCCCAAGGGCGCACAGGAAGGGAAGGGAAGGGAAGGGATGACATGATGACTGCAGTTGTCCAAACTTTTGCATGAAACATCATGAAACCTTTCGATTTTTTGAGCGCATTTAAGTTTTTGTTTCTATATTTGTATGTATATATATATATATGTATACATGTGTGTGTGTTTATTTATGATGACCAATTATAGGAGTCTATCAGTTTATTTGATTCTGGAAGTTGAGTGGCTGTGACCCATGTGTCAAACTCGGGCAGGTTGGAACGTGGGATTCTTCTATTGGGATCAATTTGCTGATGAGGTGAGTGGGTCTGGGCAGCTGGGTTGTCTAGTCCGGTCCAGTTCATCAAGATCTCTGGCTTGGAGCTGAATCTTTGAGAGTTTCGATCATGATCTACAATGATCTACAATTATATATAATGATCTATGATGATCTATGATGATCTATGATGGTCTTCACCTCCTTGGTCCGCACGGCAGCTGTGAGGAATGCGCCCGTGATGCGGAACAGAAACTCTGGCCCGGGCTCATAGGGCCATGGCCCAAACGGTGACAGGGGGGCCGCACGACCTAGGCTGGTGTAGAAAACTCATGATGATTATGGGACCCAGGCAAAAGTAAGGTGCAGCTGTAGAATATTGTACAATATTGTAGACACTCATCTCTAAAGTTTGGAGTCTTTCAGAAATTCTTCACCTGAACTTATCATAGATTTTCCCACAAATATTACCATATATAATATAATATATATATATACGAATACAGCACAGTATATATATATATAGATACATTACCCACTGTAGGTTGTTAGTTGTTATCATTGGTATATTACATACACATATAATCACATATCTCTTAACATGTATGTTTTATATGATTTATATGTAGATTCTCGTTTTTTCCCCATTCAGAACCCATCTATTGCGACTCGTCATTACTTTCTGCCCCCAAAACGCCGTAAAAAGCTCCAGGTTCGATCGTGGGGGAGATGGTCTCGCCTGGAAATCCTACAACCCAGCGACAGGCAGCGTTGACATGACGTTTTGCGGCGATGGCTGGGAAAAAAATACTGTCTATGGGTGTCTCTGGAAATGGGGTATCCCCAAAAACTGGTGAAAAATGGGATGATTTGAACCATGGGATGGAAAATGGGGTATACCCCAGTTTCAGACAAAACCATACGGAATCGGGGAAGCCTCGGGAGGTTTGATTTCCGCTTCAAGTCTTTTTTAAGGGATATCAACTGTCTTCGTTTTCTGGGTATCTCAGATTAGCCATGCAAAAAAAGTGTCTCAGATTTCGTGGCTCTTTTTTTTCAGGTCGGAAACAGGACCAGAAACGATTTTTTGGACGCGACTAAAAAATCACGAGACTTTGTAGGTTGGTGATCCAATAGATCCAGAGACCTTGGGCAAAAATAGAATATCACAACAATTGATCGGAAGGCTGGGATACATTCATTGAACATCATCATTCCTTGTGTTTTCCTGGTCAAAACCGGGCCTGGAATTCTCTGCTTGGGATTCACTTCTCCAGTCCCTATATTCAGAAATATTCATGAAGTGAATCATCAGTTTGGGGATTTTTTGGGCTTCTTGGGGAATAAGTTATAAAACTACCAAACTACCCTTCACAGCCCTTCCCCAAGTCCCCCACTTGCGGAACTGACCTGTCATGTTACATCATGTTCATGCTTATGTTCGCGCCGCGAACGATGTGCATGCCTCTCCAACTTGGGACAACAACAGGGTGAACGCATCGACGCATGGCAGTCCTCCACACATATGAACACTTGGAATCATTGTGACTGTGGCATGATTTTGGTCGTTTCTGGCCACAGATGGCAGATATAGATGTGTAGACTTTCAAATTTCTATCATATACAATATAATCTCTACATATATATATGATATACACACTTATATAGATATATGATGATATATGCAAATCAAAAACAATGAATGTATTTGTATTGATGACTGTACAGTAAATCAGCCACCAAAATTGTTCTGAACTGCTCCAATGGTCTAGGCCAGACTCAATTCAACTCGTACGCGAAGGCAGGGCCTTGGAGTTCTTGGAGTTGAACTGAAATGTGGCAGTGGGATACACTGATAATCAGATGATCTGCGGATGGGTCAAAACCTACCCTCTGGTAAACTAACATAGCTATGGAACATCACCATTTTTAATGGGAAAATCCACTATTAATGGTCATTTTCAATAGCTACGTTAAATTACCAGAGGGTATGTCATAAAGTAATACTATGACAAATATAAATAAATATAACCTATGGTTATCAATGTGGATGGTTATTCCCCCAAATATAACCTATGGTTATTACCATCTTTGGATATATTTTTGAGGAATCACCAAATCACCATCCATAAATCAGTTTTTTCTAACCATCCGGGTACCGGACCCATAACCATCTGACTTTGTCTCACATACCTCTCTATTCCGGCAGGGCAAAAGCAAATTCTTGGGGAATGTCCACCAGTCCACCAGTTTCATCCCCGAAGTTTCATTAATGGGATGAACATATGCTACCACTAATTCCCTTATCTTTTTAGCATTGTTGATAGTATTGATGATTATTTACTATTCTTATCCCACTAATCATTGGATATCATTAGTGGCTTATCACATCATTGACCCTTCATTTCTTGAGATTCTTTGGGTGACCAAAACGAAGGATCCTTGTTCGTCCGCCCCGCCCAGAGCGACGAAATGACCGTGTCGGATATTTGTGTCCGGCACCTGACGAAAATCTGTCAGAAAGGGATGGTTCAAACAGCAAAACTGGTAAAGATCTCACCAAGAATGCTGTTGAAATGACATGTTCGTTGATTTTTTTCCGGGAGCTCTATAATATATATATATATGCATGTATATATAGCTTTATTTTACGACTTTAGTTTTTGTGGGTAGTGCTTGCTGGAAAATGGAAGGACGTTTTGATGCAGTGATTTTGGCACCGCGAACACCACGGACGCCTTGGCTGGCCAGAGTGCCATTTTGAAATTGTCGCTGATCAAAAGGAGTATGATATTTAATATGTGTATGCATATGATATCTAGTGTATATATATATATATACATAGTATTATATATATATAATTATGTGTATAGTTATATATACAATTATATGTCTAGTTACATCTCACCACCTTCATCCTGCAGCCATGCGACTCTAAGGTGAACCAGGTGAAGAGAGCCATGGGTTCGTACAAAGGTTCACAGGTGTTTCTTGGCTCGGTTCTGTGGACCGGGCAGGAAATGGCAGGAAGCACGAACTCAACTACTTAACTGAACTGATGAGAACTGATGAGGTTTCTGGTGGGAATTTGGGCAAAGAAGACTTGGGACCCGGGTGCCAGTTTTGAAGATATTCCCCTCATTTACCTGGTTTTTTCTAGGCAAAAAACTGTGGCTTTTCCTGGGTAAAAACATCTCGGATTCAGCCGGTTTTCCAAGGCGTTTCGTTGGACATTCTCTGGGAGCGCAATTGGCGGTGCGCTGCGCCTCGCTCCTGCATGTGGAGGAGATTCGATTTTTGGGCATGGATCAAGCTGGGGTTCGTTATTCGCAACAGTCACCAAGCGGGGGTGACTTATTTGAGCATCAAAAATAGGGATTTCACCAAGCAACATGGGACTTTAACCCGGTTTTTAGTGATGATCAATGAGGATTTAACCATCAGATTTAAAGAAATGTGGATTTACATAGATTTATCATGATTTATCCAAGGACCACAGGATATTTTTCTTGGATTTACCATCGTTCGTTGGGGGAAGGGTAATACCATGATATTGGAAATTTTCACATCCAGCTATACCAGCTATTTTGCTGCGAACAGCTTTTTGTACCAGGGCATTGACATGGCTTTGACACATACCCCGAAGTTTGTTGTCCGAAAATGGTACCCCCTATATATGTTGCAGGAGGGGAAGATGATGAACCACGATAAACGAATAGACACACCGGTGGATGTTGCGGCGACTTGACAAATCCATGTGCCACCAGACTGGTCACAAACAAATTCGTTTTTATGTGTACCCTCTGGTTATTTAACATAACCATGGAAAATGACCATTTATAGTGGATTTTCCCATTGAAAATGGTGATTTTCTATAGTTATGTTAGTTTACCAGAGGGTAACTACTCATTCGTTTCGGAGTGTCTGATTTCAGATTGGTAGACCCACTTTTTTTTCCCCCAAGATTTAAAAAGAATCTCCTACCAGGACCACCCGGCAGCTCCAAGCAGGTTGGCCCTGTGCCTTGGAAAAATCGCAAAAATATGGGACCCTTGGGATTTGACTTGGGATTCCCGCGGCTCAAATCCCTGCGTAGGGTTTAAGTTTTTTACCTTCCAACACAACAAACCCTTAAACCCTAAAACCCTAAAACCCTAAACCCTAAATTAACACCTAAATCCTGAAACCTTAAAGTCAAAATCACAGCGTATAGTCAGTGTTTTCATTCATCCTCTGGTGATACGTATATCATATTGTTTGGATGTGTTGTTTGAGTTTGGGCGAACCCTTGGTTTGGAGGGAACATGTAGATTAATACATATCAATACTGGGTTTAAGCCATTTGCCCCAAATTTTGTGGATTGATTATTGTTTTCTTCTAGGTAAGGTGGTTTATAACTAAGCGAACATAACAAGGATTGATGGTGGATTTATACTTTGATTCGTTATGATCTTGCAGAAACTTGGTGGTTAAGTGGGAAAACAACTGAAAAAATAACACCCCCTCCGCAGGGTTTAAACCATGGTACCGGGTACCGGTTAAAGTCTAGCTTGCTGCAAGTCACTCCATTTGAGAAAACTCTTTTTGTGGCTAGAATTTTGGGGTATCTTCAGATCCAGCCTTCATTTAGCACCTATAAATTGGGGTTGACCAGCGGCAAAGCCTTGCTTAGACCCATAGCCATAGCCATGTTTTGAATGGCCACGCCACAAGGTTGGAGCCCTACTTCAGCAAGCACAGTCTGCCTCTCAGTGGCACCAACGAGGTGATGTCGGTGAGAGTCGTGGCTGCTGAGTGATGATACCTTTTCAAAACGGATATGTATATAATTATACACATATATATATACACATATAGAAATGGAACAACAAGACATATATCTGACTACATCTCTACATCTATATATCTCTATATATCTCTATCGAAATCATGATGCTCGCGCGAACACACCAACAGTGTTCAACACACACACACACTATCTATATCATTAATCTATATTATTCTCACATATATACAATATATACAATATATACAATATATACCATACATCACTATGCTGTAGTATACACATCTATCATCTTTGCTGCTTTGACCAGCACTTTTTGGGGTGGTGAATTTCCATCCAGAGTTCGGCAGGTCACATGTTTTTTGGCTGCCATGGCGGAGTGACCACCGACGAAGGGATGGGTCTGGAGTCTCAGGAGGCTCAGTAACCGTTGCGTCACATGGCTTGATGAAGTGATTCCTTAATGGGATCCAATGGTAACGCCAACATATTTTTTAGGGAGATCATGATGTGTAGCCAACTTGAATATGATTTGGATGGGTCCGAAAATGGGTCCGAAAATCCTTCGACTAGCAATTTTGATGAACAAAAAACATATGATTAGTTATATATCTGACAATCTCTTGCTTAGCAAATCTCACCACTAGCCTTCGCTTGCGCGAAGATCATCAATTCCGTAGTGGTTTTTGACCGAGGTTTCTTTCTCTGCCCACCAGGGGCTATGATTCTGGAGAGTCTCCCAATTTGGCATTCAACAAGTGAATCCCTAACAATTCCATGAAATATTATGTAGTTGAGTGATATATCGATGCTATAGTGATATATATATATGTATACATATATTGATACTCTTGTGGTAGGATATGCATTTCTTCAAACACTATTCAACTTGTAGATATTTTGATTTTATCTTTATGTAGGTTGTAGGTACCCTTGAAACATGTACATATATATCTCTTGGGGTTCACAAACCGACCCAAGAGCCCAAATTTCAAACCCTAGAGTTTTCCTCTCTAGGGGACCCCAGAACCACCATGAACCACCACCACGTCTGATGGTTTCAAAGGTTTCTATTCATATTGAGGTATATAATAGAACACATTGCTGATTTCATAAACCTGGGGAACTCCCAAAAGGCACCCAAAAGCTGCATGGTACCCTCCCGTCAAACATAGCTGGAGACTCCCCGAAGTCAATGGCGCTTTTCATGGGAAAATCATCTATGATTGGGGGATTTTTCATTGCCGAAATGACCGGAGGGTAAACCCAATATAACAATCTATGATAATCTGATTGGTGGTTTGGAACATGAATGGATTATGACTTTCCATATATTGGGAATTTCATCATCCCAACTGACGAACTCCATCATTTTTCAGAGGGGTAGGTCAACCACCAACCAGTAATCTATCCAAACTTGGCAGTTATGGAATTGGGCATACCCATACGGGATGATGTTGTTTACGAGCCCCCAGTCAAGGAATGTTACTGGGGGATGGCTCATGGCACATTGGTATAACGGCATAACCAACCACAATGGGGAGATATGAATGGCAATGACATATATTTATATGTACTGTATGGCAATTGTCATATTCTCCCATAATTACTTTCTGATATTATCCGGTGATTTTTCCATTACATTCTCCAAAAGTTCTCATATTGGGGATATGGATCCCAATTCTCAATTCGTAGATTCGTAATTCGATGTAATTCGTAATCATATCCCATTCCCAATGGCATTGGCTGAAAACCATATTAGTGCCACGGTTTTCAAGATGGTTGGTACTTTCCCATCAATTCGGGGATCAGAAAATCCCCACATTTTTTCCAGGGATAAAAACCCAGTGGGGAATCCCCCATCAATGGGATGACCAGGGGGTCCCACCCCCATGGGCTTCACCACATGACCATTTTAGATTATAAGGACCAGAGTTGGTTTACATCTCTATAACAACCTCTAGAATTTTTGTGGTTTTGAAAAAAAAACCTCTATGAAAACTATAGCAATACATCCACGTTTTCAACCCTAGTTGTGGGAAGGTTTTGAGACGCTTTTGAGCGATTTCTAACCCAAGTGTAGCAATACATCTAGTATCTATATAACCCCCTATTAAGTACAATGATATAGAAATATATGACAAGTGACTTAGTGATATCTCGTGATATCTGGTGAATTCTGGTTTTGTACTTAGAGCTTTGACTACAGCCATTAGCTAGTCAATTTGAGTGGGATGTTCACATCCAGCTATACTATACCAGCTGTGACTTGGGTGGTTCACATTCGGTACCAGTGTTTTGACCAGCCATATTAATTGACAGCCATATATCTAGTAAATATCCATGGTTGATATTGGTTAATATTGGTTAATAATGGTTAATAATGGTGATTAATGGATGACTAATGATGATTAATGTGGGTAATTCACAATGTCATATGTTTACCACCCATTTTCCTGGGAATGGTAAGTTTATACCACCTATAACAATGGTGATGACTGGGATGGTAAACATGGCATTAGTTTTCCCACATTACTCCGAATCGCCTCGCTTCACCAAGCGCCGCTGCCTCCGAGGTGACTTCGCCGCTAGGTTGACCGTGCAGATGGTGGAGCATCTCTGGTCCAGCACCTCGGCGGCATTCGACACAGACGGTGACGAAACAATGGGAAAGTCATCAAGAAAGAAACAGAAATCATAGATTTTTTTTTGATCTCCTGGATGGCAAATTATAGAAATCATAAATGATTCATAGATCTGCTGGATGGCAATCTTTTGCGGCTTTGCGAAGTGGAAGAATCACCATTTTGAAAAAAAGGCGGATCATCTATAAATGGGCCATTTTCATCCAGGCTTTAACGGCTTTAACCATCAAAACCATTTGGAAATAGGAACTTCAAATGAAGCATGTTGCCACAACATGCCACACCTCGGTGAAGTGTCGATTCATAGGTTAAGTCGTGTAAGTTTGGGGTTATTTTGATGCGAAACCCGAGGAGCACCATTCACGGTTCGGGGGCAATCTAAGATTAGCCACGCATAGATGTCATTTTAACACTGGCTAGAAAAGAAAGGTGGTAACAAAAGGGTCCCTTTTTGTAGCTAAAATCAGAACATGGGTTTGTTTGGAAATAGGGTATCCCTAAATCCCATCATGAAAAAAGATTTTCCCATTCAACTTGTCATTGAGGGAGTTGTTCCGGGTTCTAAGTCATCCCCCGATTAAGTATGGCAACCTTAAATCAAAGTAATAGAGATGACCTTCAATGAGATTTTGGATTGATTTTGACATATGTTAAATGCAAACTATCTATACTGATATATGCACATTTCCGCATGATGCATGGCATTTGGATCTAGTTTGGCCCAAACTACCATGAAACTAGCGGTACATCTTGGTCCATTGAGAGCTCACTGGGGAGGCAAGAAAGTGGTCACTGAAACCTACAAGTCTTCGCTTCTCACAGAGGTGACCGGGGTGGCTGTGATGTTTCTTTTTTTGTTACCATCTGGTAATAACTAACATGGCCGTGGAAAATGGCCCATTTATAGATGTTTTACCTATTATAAATGGTGATTTTCCATGGCTATGTTAGTCATAACCAGATGGTAGTGGCTTGGAACTTTGAACCAAAGAGGCGTCTCTACATCTAGAGATGTTCAGCATTTCCCCAGAAAATTTCCTAGAAAATTGCCATTTTCGGGGTGGCCAGTTTCAGACACACCCAAATTGTATATATATATATGTGTATGTGTGTATATATATATATACTGTATATGTGTGTGTGTGTGCCCAAATAGATTTTATAACGGGGGTTTCCGGAAATGGACAACCCCAGCCGGAAACGATTGGTTTCCTCATTACAAACAGAGCAAACACTTTTCCAATGTTCGATGATTTTGGGGTCTTCAAATTGAGGACCACCCTATTTCACATGATTTCTTTCTCAAGCAATAGTCCCACTCTGATATCCGAATCTCAAGTCGCTTGTTGCATTGCCATAGCGTACTGAAAAATAAGATGAAGCCGCAATGAAGCCTCGACAATTCGTTTAGAGTTTTTTTTTTCTATTTGAAACCCAAGCATTTGTTTTTTGGTTTTCGCTGTGAAGTTTAGTGGAGATTCAAGATGAGTTCCCCGGTGAAGTTGTGTTTTTTTTTTCGTCCATGGCCATGTCCCAAGTTCTGCCCAGAAATCCGCGGAAGAGTCGCCGTATAGCGAACTGAAGAGCCTTGCTGGGTGCTCAGCCCTTGTTTTCCGGTGGCCTGATCCAGTGATTGGTTGAGACCTATGTTACCAATAAGTTGTTTATATGGTTACCAATCGAATTGCAAGCAAACTACAGTGATTGACCAATGTAGATGGACAATTTTTTGAAACTGTAAACATATCTAGTGGAAGTATGGTAAAAGATTGCAGTGAGGATATTAGATGGTGTTTGATGTTTGCTCCAATGTATAGAAACTGCATGAAACTGCACCATCCCTATCCATCTTCACAGCCGTATTTATTTTGCAACTTCCCCTTGTTTCTGGAGAAACACATGGTTTGGTTCCTCAATGTTTTCCTTTTTAGCCCTTAAGAATGATGAAATATCATGACATGTCATGAAATTTTGTGTCCCGCTGTGTCATACCTTCACAATCATATATGTATATACTATATATGTTCATTACTGTTCTTGTATGCAATGTGATGTGACGTGACGTAACGTGATGCGAAGTCATGTGATGCAATGCGCGCATGCATGTAACATATGGTTTTATTTATATGCATATATATATATATACAGTACATATCTAAATATATATACATAGATACATAGATGACCATCTTTTTGAAGGGGCATCCAAGCTTTGCCATGGCCTGCCATGTAGAGCTGGAACCAGGTTGAGAATGGCATGGGCGGAGTGGAGAAGACATTGGTAGGCCGCCTCCCTTCTGCATGACGAAGGGTGGGATGCCATTCTTTTCGGGTGGAAGGCACTAGTTCTTCAGCATGATGAAGCGACCATTTTATATATTTTATGGTGATATGATGGGAATTCATGGGCCAATATGATTTGATATGTTTTAAGCGTCTGATATGATGAGAAAAAGGGGCCCCAACTTGGTGCATATTTGGGAAACAGAAGATTGCTACAGGGCTGTTAGCAATTTTTCGAGGGACACCTTGAAGAGAGAGTAAGATTGGTCATGTGATAGCAATTGGTGGTTTCAAAAAGCAATTTGATATATGACGTTCTAACACTATTGGTATTAGTTTAGTATGTCATGTATTGTTATAGGAAAAGTTTTCAACCCAGAAAAAACACTATTTGATAGCAAACAAGCACCAACTTCCAGTGACCAGAATACCAAGTGGTAGATAGATTCTGATAGATGATCATTTAGTTTGTACATGGTTGTACCATGTTGTACCACCTGGTTCATCGGGGGACTATTGACAAATTGTGGGAATCACTTAAAAATCCCATACCAGGATTCAGGGGTGATGCCCAACTCAGCCCATTTCTGGTCATGGCGAAGACCGGCCCAAAAACAAAGTTTGAACCACTCAAACACGATTCGGCTTTCCAGCAAGAATCGTCGTTATCTATTCTTCAGACATTGTTACAGAATTGAAGAAGATATGGTGAAGATAAATCTGACAGATTGATTTAAGTGCTTTTTCGAATTCTTGTACATACTTCATGATTTGACAACTGAAAATCTGATGCAAATCCTCTTTAGCATGGTACTGGAAGCATATATCCATGGTGCCATCAAATCATGGGCTTTCGAAAAGGACATTTCCTTCACTAAACATGGGGACCACTTTAGAGATTTCCCCACCAGCAATGGGACCATTTTAGAGGCTCTACTACTTATAGGCCTCATTTACCAAGCGCGGCTTGGTGAACCGAAGCTCTCCAAAGCTTTTTTTCAACGCCAGGAACACTTGCTTCCGGCATGAAGGCAGAAGATCTTGAGAGGCGCTACGACGGAAGTTTAAAACATCCAGGGGATGATCCGTTAAAAATCGACTTCCCAAATCGCTGATCCAATTGACTATCCATTGGTTTTGTTGAACGGATTTTTGTGGCCTGTTTTTTTTTCGTGGGCAAGCGCCATGTGAAAAACAATTTTTTTGTCCTCAGAACCTGGCGGCCCTGAGACAGGGATCTGCAGATTTGGCGCTCTAAAAAAATCAGAACCTGATGGCGTTTTCCATGGCATTTTCTCTGCATGCGGAGCAATGGCCAAGGCGGCCAAGTCTTTTGAAGATTTTTTTCACTTGAGAAAGTTACTTACTATGCAGCATGGCTGCCATCCAAAGTTACGAAATTGGTTATTGGTTTTGCAATTCTGACGCACTACAGTACCATAAGGGGAAATGTATGTGAAACTATGTGAATTTACATAATTTTGAATAATTTTGATACCTTCTTTGTCACACTTTAGATATCTTTAGATGACCTATAAATCAAATGGAGAAGGAACAGATGTTTCAATATTATTGTAAAACATTTTACAAAGGACACGATTCCTTTGCAGTGTTCACTACGCAGAGGACAAATGTTGACCTATCCCTATTTTTGCTGGGTGAAATATGATCCAGTCCCTTTTTTCCCTGATGAAATCACAGTTCTTGTTTGTCAAGTCCAAGCGCCCCCATTTTTTTTACTCGTGATGAAATCCAGCTTTTCTTAAGCAACGATTTTTGGGGTTCCTAACATGCCAACATCCCAGTCTATGACTGCAGGGCCAGCACATTGGTGAAGTACGAACCCGAATGGTGCGGTGGCATCTTGACAGATGGCGCTGTTCAGAGTGAAGTGTGGTTGATCATGCCAAAATGATCTCTAAGATGTGCTTTCCACTTCATGATGTTTTTGACATATTTGACTCCCGAAATAGTACATTTATATACATCTGTGTATTTTGCAACCAGTCGTTCTGGTACAACTACATGTCCTACAGCAAACTAACATGGATGTGGAAAAACATAGTTTCCCGAGGGTAAGATTATGGTTCGCATTGCATTATGCCAATTATGTCCCCATTACGGATGTTTTTATCCCATATCTACAGTAGATGGCAGTGATACATAATCCATTCTTGTTGCTTATAGAAAGCCATTAACATTGTTATTACTCCATTATTGTCCAATGGCCCATGCATTCATCATATTCCATACATGCCTTCTCATCTTGTTGGTTCCTATCCCCAATTTATTCACAATGTTCCGTGCATTATGGTTATTATACCATTGCCTCTCCCATTGCCATCTGGTAATCTAACAGTTTGCGAACCAGAAACCGCAATGAAAAATATAGGAAGATCATCTTCTTTGTGGCTATGGCTTCCAATTCGCAAACTCTTAGATTACTAGACGCTAAATTCCCCATATTCCCATTCATCACCATAGAAATCTTCATAATCCCAATGATTATCTATGAACATAACCATTAAATCCCCATTAAATCCTTTATCATTCATTACTGTATTATCATAAATGAGTCAGGGAATTATAGCAATGGGTAATTATTAGTTATTAGTTATATCATATATCATTCATATATCCTAATAATTATAATTTGTATAATTATTGGGAATTTCATAGCCTAATATTGGGAATTCCATTATACATAATCTGTAGCTAAACACGATGATATCCTCAAGCGACCGAGGTGTTGGTGCGAACGAGTACGGTGATGTGGAACATGTTGCGTGCAGGTTGGGAAGCGGAAAGATGGGGATTTAACTTCCAAAAATGGAGGATGTTGGTAGAAACATACGGATTTTAACCTGGAGAAATTGGGATTTGGGACGTATCTTGTGTCAGAAAATATCTTGGGAAAAGCCGTTGTTTACTGGTAAAATCAGCCACAAACATATGATGTACTTGAATTTAGCCACAAATGCGGATGTGTCACCAATTCACAGCCATTTTACTGGGGAAGACTGGTTTCACTCTGAGATTCGGGCTGATTTTCAGACATACCCACATCAATCCAGGGTTTTGGCGGAGGAAACACATAGTTCTTATACAGTGGTTTCCTAATTTTTAGAAGTGTCTCAATGGATATGTATATACATCATAATGTGTATAAATACATATATATATATATATATGTATGTGTATACACTCCATATAGTGTCTGGGTTTGCTGTAACATGTCAGTGAAAAAAGGATGCGAAGGTAGAAACTTGTAGAAAGTTAGAGTAGACGTCCAGTTTTGAGGGGTTAAATATCACTTTTTGGTGCACTAGATGATAGTGGTTAACCCTTCAAAGATGAAGATCATGTGTGTAGAAGTTTGAGGAACACTATACACTATCCATGCTGAACTTGTTGTAGGGTTGCCTTGTTTTTCTGTGTGGATCAGATCTGCAGTTTCTCTGTGAAAACCTTGGATCCCTATAGGTCAGTGTGTGAAAAATTGGTGCCAAAAAGACATATGGCTATGGATCAATAGCTGTTAATACCATTTTTAGTGGGATGAACATCCATTTTTAGTGGGATTGACACACTGCCATATAATTCTGAATACCCTCTGGTGAACTAACATAGCAATGGAAAATCACCATTTTTAATGGGAAAATCCACTATAAATAGCAATTTTCCATTGCTATGTTAGTTCACCAGAGGGTAGATGATAATAGATACACCAACAATTTCTGTGGATCAAAGATCCGCCAGAACGGCCAGGCACTCCGCCGTGGTGCCAATGTATCTCATGTGCCGCCGGCATGTTGGAGAGGGGCCTTAAAGGCGGCCCCCGTTGAAAAAATGTCCATTGAACGATGGAAAATGAGGTGTAAACCAGTTGATTTTGGGATACCCGATTGGTTCAGAAAATCGTGATTGGTTGATGAAATTCGCCATGCTAGCTTGTCAAAGCATGAAAAAATTGCTCACATCCAAAGGTTAAGTACTGTACCCAAAGTCATATCCCTATTTTAGAGGGCAACCTCTAATGTTTAGTGACAACATCACGAAGTTTTATATAGATCAACATACTTTTTTTGATTTTCATCATATTGAATCTACATGTTTATGGTTTCAATCTCTGTTTTTGGTTGCTTTTTGGTTGCTCATCTCAAAGGTGGCAAACCTCCATAGTTGGTGCAGACAACTTTTACTCGGCACCCTGGAGCCAGGAGCTACGGCCGTGCTCCACCCCCACAGACTCCTTTACCCGCGGAGAAAGCTGCGCCTGGCTCGGTCTGGGGCTGAGAAAATAGGCACAACAAATTGTTGAATCTGGTTTTATATATTTCTATTTTTGTATATTTTTATATATTTATATATATGTTACATGTTTATATATTTTTATATATTTTTATATTGCATTATGGTTGAATTCACCATTTTAAAATGAAACACTATATAGATGTCGATGTACAGGCGTGATCCAGAATGAAACGCAAAAAAACTGGCCGAATTAGAAGGACGTCATCACTCTACGTCACCAAGGATTGTGGCTAGTAAAGGGGAATCATCCACAAAGACCTTAGACCTTCTGGTTGGTGAATTATCATCCTTCAGCCAGATACTATGAATGATTCAGTTGATGAATAGATATGAATAGATAATAATCTATTGATATCATTCATATTATTATCTTTTGTACTTATTGGATGTAGACTTATGATGATTTCGCCATATTCAGTCGAGCATTTTCGATTCAGCCAGAATCATACAGAGTTGGAAAATGGTAAAAATGATGTATCCCCTTTGTATGTGTCTGGTTTATAGTGAGAAACTATGGTGGCATAATAAACTCATAATCATTGTGAGATAGGTAGAAATAGGTAGAAATAGGTAGAATGCTAGCAATCTTTGTCTGAAAATTGGGGAAATTACGTTTCCGATTCCGGTACCAATAAGACGTTTCCGGTTCCATGCGGGAAAGGAAGGTCTGTACGTGGATAGCTTCAGTAGGGTAGCCCATTTTCAGACAAACCCATCTGGCTATGACCAGTTACCCTCTGGTAATTTAACATAGCTATTGAAAATCACCATTTTCTGGCTGGGTAAATCCACTATTTCTATGGCCATTTTCAATAGCTATGTTAAATTACCAGAGGGTAATTTGGATTCTATTCAGTGTCTTTTCTTGTTTGATATTGTCAGGTAGTTTTTTTCGTCATTTCGACATTTTGACTCGAATTGTAAAATATTGAGGTTTAACCATCGAACGGGAGGATGTTACGATCAAAATTAGGATTCGTGCTGACAACTGGAAATCAAACAGGGCAGTGGAAACTAACCGTAACTAACCCATCTGTAGATAATCTTTTCTGTCTTCTATATATTCCGAATGGGGATTTCTCGCTGCAAGGTTTGATTGCAAGGGGATACCCATCAAAAGTTTGTTTTGCAACTCATTGTTCTACTACAACTTGGCGGTTTCAACATTGAATCATTTCAAATTCTCTTGCCAGCAAATTGGATGATCCAGATTGACCAGCTTGGATTTTTGAGATGAGTTGAGACCCTTAAAATCAGGTGAGTAGGTAGCTAAGGATTAAGGACGTCTAAGAAACCTGGTTAGTCAACTAGGATTATCTCACGATATCTCATGTATAGCTGTATAATGCTGTATAGCTGTATAGCTGTATAGCTCTATAGCTGGCTTATTTGTATGGTTCTCATCCAGTGACTAGTTGAGATATGTTGAGATGGTCATGAAAAAAATCAATGTAAATTTCGTGGCCCCCTGCGGTCAAGTGTTGAAGCAGTGTTTCTGAGACGTTTTTGCTAAGGGAAACACCACGGGAATAAAAAGGTGGATTTAGCTCATTGTACCACAATGATTCGGGGATGAAACCTGCAACTTTTTTGCGACTTACATCTGGATTTGACCACTAGGTTGGGTAGTCAACTACATGTTGAAGTTGCAAAGAGAAGCTGAACAAAAAGGAGATGAAACATAAACAATCCTGATGATACTTGGCTGTTTCTTGGCTATGATACTTGGGTATCTCTCAAAACTTGTGTATCACAAGCTGGACGTCCAAGATTTCTTTGAAGCAACCACTAAAGTGTTGCTTACGGTACCAATCATATACAATCACCCACCCTTCGATAATCTAACATTGCACTAGACACAGCCCCCAAAAGCGTACATAATTCCACAACATTGCACACATAGCTTACTACATGGAGGTTTCCTAAGTCATGGGTACCCCAAAAACATCCAATCGTCATCTGAATGACCATGACTTAGTATAGGTTAACAACCATGGTGACGACTGGGGATCCCCCATGACTTAAGGACCCCCCATGGTCATCCTGCAGGCATTGGGATCCTGTATGACACCCTCAGCCGCCTGTACGGATGATCAGGCCAGGCCTGATGGCCCGAAATCTGCGGAACTGAATCCTACGTTAGATGTGAAACTTTTCTGATAGAACTAGCCCCAAAATGATGAAGCTTTCCAGTGTCGGAATTTGCAGAAATGGAATTTCGATGAATTTCGGCGCCCAGCTTTTTTTGATTGGAAAAGTCACCGAGGAAAAAAAGGCCGAATTTCCCATGATTTCCAGGATGGTAGTTCCATTTTGTTCCCCGGTGATTTCTCGTGATTTTCCCAGCTTTCTGCATCTGGGGCTTGTGAAAGAAATGGATCAACTGCGCCCTGCCAGCTTCGACAATGGGTCCAGCGCCAGTGGGGGATCTTAATTCAGAAACGTAGATAGGTGGCCTCAATTCAGGTGTGAAGGATTATAATCTATCCATATCTATCCAGGCTTGATGGCATGTTTCTTGGATGTTTTTTTTTCTTTTCTCTCCTTCTAGTTGGGGTGCTTCATTAAAAAAACCTACATATTTGGAATGCATATCCGAAACGACTCACATGTGTGCTGGTACATCCCACAGAATGATGAGGGTCAGACCCAAAAAGAGGCTCGAAGATGATTTTCAACCACTTTAACCTTTGAATATGCGTCCACACTGAACGAGTAATCATTAGTAATCACCAACAGCATCATGCTTTTTGAGATTTTTTGAGTGCTGTACCCTGAGTTATCTTCACTACCCACTACAGAACGGAGTTGCACTTTCTGTGGGAAGAGGACAAGTCGATGGGTTTTCCTGGCTCCTAAGATCTCCTAAGCTTTGAGTGCCAAAAAGTTGGAGCCTGAAAAATACCTAAAATTAGATGAACATGGCCCCAAATTGTGCATTCTGGCTTCAACTATTGTGCTTTTTCATGTTTTTTCAGCTTGCATCCCTGCTTGGCATGAATTTGTGATAAACCCTACCATGGAGCATCCCCAATAGTGGGTCTAACACATTCCACTAGTAAATTTCACATGACCGAAATGAGCCCCTTCTCCAATACATTCCATTCCAAGCATTCGATCAAGGGAAGATCCTACAGGAAACCTCAATCCTTTTGGTGAAGATTTCCCCCTAAACCAATCTATTGATAAGACTACATTGTCATCATTATTTTTTCCACCGAACATTGGTGTACGTAAAGCTGATCCATGTTAAATTGGCCAATTCACCCTTCCTTTTAATCGTCAAAATTTTATTTGGGTGAGATTAATTCCCCCTTTTTTTACGTACCATTATCACAAGTTCATCGTCATCATCATCATCATCATCATCATCATCATCATCACACACAAAGGCTGGACATGGCGCCCACCAGACAGATGTGGGACCAAAGCTTTGGCCGGGAAACCAACGGGGTTCAGAACGATCAGGGCTGGTTGTGTCCCAAGTAGATATGATATGTTTTTGTTCCCATGAAACATGGGGAAAGATGGGGATAAAACTGGGAAAGATGGGGATGACACTTTCAAAGATCTGGGCAACAATTTTATGTTTCATCGAACATGGTCCAATGGTAGGACACATTGCGATTGAACTTGAAGGAGATCGGGTGTTTGGGAAATATACATGAGCAAAAATATGGGGACAGCCAGTTGTATCGGGAGACTCAGTTATTTATCATCCATAATCCATAGCTTGGGGATGATGGACATAAGTTTAGACAAACGTGGAGGATGGGCAGCCAATTTATATCAATTTAATGGCACGTCATGGCACGTCTTTAGTGGTCAACATACGATTCTCAACCATGAGATTTGCGGGTACCCTGTTTTGGACTTTTTAAAGGGGACCTGGATCCTTAAGGACCAGGGATCTTGAGAGATCTCGGTGTCCATTGTGTATATTAACATCCAGCCAGACGGTGCGGATATACCAATGATTCCTAAACAACCAGATATCATATTATACTGGTATATATATATATTACTATATATATATATATTACTGTATATACATATATATTAATGTATATATATATATATTACTGTATATATATACATATATATATATATTACTATATATATATTACATATATATATATATCATATATATACAGTATATCATATGTATATATATAATTATATATATATACCATGTTTCACTGGGTCTCACACCAGGAATTTATGATAATTTATGCATGTTGCTGTATAGACATGTAACATCCAGCATTTTGTATCCTTTAGCGATCTCACATAGATATCACACACCTGCCACTTGCAGAGGTTTGCTGAACATGAATATTCTATGTCATTGTTCGTGAAGAGCAGGATAAATGGCGGATCAATGATGCATGGGTGGCGACCCCTATAATCATCATTCATGTCTATTCCGGATAGTAAACCCTGGATGATAAAGCAGGGGATTACGTCAAAAAAGTGAAAGTCTGCTTCCAAACTGGCACAGGGGATTCTTTATCCGGTGGGAGCTATTGTCAAAAAAACAATGAGATTCCAAGGGGGTTGTATGTGAATGTGGTCAATGCACCCAATTTCCGATAATGGTTTTTGAGAGCATTTGGACGACTACAATCTACGAAAAGATACAAAAAGTGAGTTTTGGCCGCGGTACATTTTGGGATTGCAAATGCTTTGATGAAAATCTAGAGTAGGTATATATAATCAGCAGTTCCAGGGGTGCTTACTGTATCCGATACACAAACTGCATGACATTTGTCACTGTCTCAGAATTGTATGAAGAGACAATTCACAGGACACACTTTTTTTTCGGCGTAAAAGGCATCTAAAATAGAAAAACAATCTAAATCTAAATATAGTTCCGATAAATCAATCCATTGTCTCTGCCTCAGATGGGAGGTTTCGGCATCCGAATTTCTGAGGTCAAAATACCTTCGCAAATATTGATGATGCCTATATATTGGATCCTTCCATCAAGCAGGGTTTTCAGGTGAGGGGAGGAGGGGACAGCGACCCGGGCAAGTTTTGTGGAGCTTGAGATGGAACGATTTAGAGAAACACATGCACCACATTTGGGTCTGCCTGAAAAAATGGTGGGTACCTTAAGATTTCATAGTAGATTTTTCAATTTGTTGATGGCTGCCATTTTTGGATAACTGCTGGACTCTCATCTCCAAATTTGGACTCCAAAGTTCATTTCCGCACTTCCAAATCCAAGTCTAAAAAATGCACCACATTTGATATGGATTTTTGAGATCTGGAATTTCAATTTTGGACTTTCGTGGCCAGCTCGTCGAAACAAGTTCCGGAATGGATTGTGGTCAGTTTCGGCCAACAAGTCTGAGGTAAGTCTACAAGTTGGGTATGGGGGCCTTTGATGCATAGGGCGTACAGCTATCTGCACGATTGGTGTGAGAGGGAAACTTGAAGGAAATGTGTCAGACTGTCTAGGATGGTTTTGAGATACCCTCCGTTTTTTTAGAACTTTAATTCCCACTGCCTGAAGATCAAGTCACCGCGGAATGTGGAAAGCAAGCCCAATTCCATTGCATTTGAACTCCAGCCTATCAAACATATGTTATTAAATGACCATGGAAAACCACACTTTTTTGGAATCCAAACTTGGTTGAAGTGTGCACTCCAAGTTTTCTTCTAAGCAACAACATGTTTTGTCCGAAAAAGCTAATTACCTAAACTTATCATGTTTCATGTTTCATGTTTCATGTTTCATGCTTCATCTTCATCTTCATCATGATCATGATCATCATCCTCATCCTCCTCATCCTCCTCATCCTCCTCATCCTCCTCATCCTCCTCCTCCACCTCATCATCATCACCATCACCATCACCTTCATCATCTTCCTCCTGGTCAAACTTGTCGTAAATTGTCGTAACCCTCTAACTCCTTTTTTTAAGACAACTCCATATCATAATTTGGTCATATTGCACCTAGACCCTGAGAATAGCTCCAACCCCCTTTATGGGAGGGTCTATGCTAGATGCGATGATGGTACATCGGATAATACCTCTTTGTTATGCATCTATCCACTTGCTGTTCACCTTTACAAAAACAACCACATCTCCATGTTTTCTTGTGAAACAGCATACAGATTCTTGCCAAATCTCCGTGCCATTGATCAAATCTGAAGTTGTCCTACTCCAATCACAGTGTTTGATGGTAAAATCTTTATCCTTGTTGGTTAAGCGTCAATTTCTCCTTCTCAAAATAGCAAATATTGAAACCAACTCCTTGATGGTTTAAACACCTGGTAAAACTATGTAAAAACACAGTTTTTGTTTGGCAGATGAACCCCCCCATGTTTGGGTGTCATCGTTGGGGACGGCGCCAGCTGGGTCTACGGAGTGCCAACTCGCTGGTGCAAGAGACGCCAGCGGAGTACATCCAGACGAAACAGGCACGTCACAAAATCGGAAGATTTGGGGCTCTCAAAATGGAGGTAGCAGCTGTAGCATATTCTGTAGCACATAGCCCATTTTATGGCCATTTTATGGCCTTTGAATGGGAGATGATATATGGAAATATGACAATTTAAGCAGTGGATTTAAGGGAGACGCCATTTTCAGACATATACCATGGGCATCCATGGGCCATTCATCTATGTCCCACAACAAATCCCATGCAATCAATTTCCCATGGGATTAACCAACCATTTAATAGTGATATAGTGGGAGACATAGCTTTACCCTCTGGTAATCAATTCTGGCAATGGACAATCCATAAATGAAGGTTCTAACGGGAACATCCTCGAACTAAACGGGGAATATTCCAGCAAGCCATGTTTGATTACCGGAGGGTAACGAACCATTTAAAGGTGACATAGTGGGAGACTATATAGTGGGATAAAATAAAGTGATATGACCTCACACACACACACACGTAATAGGATTGGGTGTGTCTAAGAATTGGATATACCTCGCCAAATGGTCATTAAATGATAGGGAAAATGATGATCCAGCAGTGGATAACATAAGGTACACTATTTTCAGACACACCAACAATATTATGGTATATTTTATGGCATACATGACGACACCGCTTATGTTGCATTGCGGTCAATGATGATGCTTTATGTGTATGTGTATATCGCTATGGTGGATTTGCGGTACATTTAGAGACATTAATGGGTACAAACGGTTACACTATGATTACTATAGCTAAACCAGGGCGCAATTATGGTTTGGTACATAATGATGATTCATCAACAGAGAATGGGTCAAACAAAATATGGTATATTATGGCATATCAGTATATATCAGTAGAGTATATTTCAATGAGGGGAGAGATAGCACATATATCAACAGGGTATTTCTCAATTAGGGATACTGTATACTAATCTATCAGCAGGGTATAGCTCAAGATCTATAGTATACTATGATACATCAACTCACACCATCCCACACCCATGACTATATAGGGGTATTATTCTGAGGTACCCAAACATTTACCCAGAGGGTATGGGCAAAATTCTAAGCTAAACATGGATGATTTGTTCATTGTTTCATCCTGCAATACAAAGAACTGTTGGGTTTATCATACCCAACAGGGGTTGATAGATGTCCTTCTTTAGGGCTTTAGATGATGTTGGGTCCTGGCCAAGGTCTTACTTCTGACTCCTGGTTTGGGAAACCATGATGACGAGTTTTTGCTCAGATTATTTTGACATATCTTGAGCCCTTAGTTTAAAACCCACCAATTGGGGATGGCAGAATCATGAACACATACAGTAGCGTAGAACATCTTGCTTGGTGGGTTCAAACACATCACCAAGCAAACCCGGGTTGGTAGTGTCAAATACTGGTCTATGGTAGTTTAGGCAATATAATATGATACGCGTACAGCAACCCCAAAGTACATGGAAAAGTGGGACACCTGGAAATATGAATGAAGGAAATATCATCAAAACTAAAAGCAATATTCGGCATCTTTTTGGGCGTTGCTATCACTGTTTTTTTCCAAAGTCGTTGGTGGTTTGAAATTGGTTTGAAAATGTTTGAAATATGTTTGGTTTCACCTTGGATGGTGATGTACGCTGACGGTGATGTAGTGATGTAGCCATTTTGTCAAGGTCTCTCCGAAGCTTCAAATCAGGGAATGCTGGAAGGTGATCTTTGAATTGGATGAGTTACTCAGCGGGTGTTTTCAAACTTCAGAGATTCCAAGCAGGTTTTTTGGGCCTTGGCTCTGCAAGCAGATCCTTCGAGGTTCGAGGTGTCGAGTATTGGACCATATTCAATATGATATACATATTGTTCGGGGGTTTTCCTATTTTAGGGGGTCCCCCAAATCATCAATTTTAATACGATTTTATAATAGTAAACCATCCATTTTGGAGAACCCCATGTATGGACCTTCCCATTTTTTGGCATGGAGAACTATCGATTCGATATTCTTTGGCAATATGTAAACAAGCAGCAGCAAGAAGTTGTCGAGTTCCCTCGTCGCGCAGTCGTTCTCCATGCTCACCTTCCTGAGAACTCCGCATCTATGGCTACCTGCTGGGGATCTTAGCTGATTTCCTGGTGACTGCATCGCTGACCGCGCCTCATGGCTTGCGGCTTTCCGGTGAAGATGTTCCCTTCCAAGACAGAAAGGTTGAGGAAGAAGGCTTTGCCGGCCCTGTTCAAAGGAAAGATGTTTGAGATTGATTGAGAACAGCAATGAAAACTTTGCTTTTTATCGTTTGTGATGTTCAAAGTGCTTATGATCGTCATGGAAAACAACAAGGATAAACATAATCCAGCATCATCATCATCATCATCATCATCATCATCATCATCATCGGGTATATGTATCCAGATTTTGTCAGATTTGCCAAGTTTTTTCAATGCATGTCAGCATTCATGCCAACATGTTTACGTTGGAACTGGAGGTTTGGATGAAGTTCCGGAATTAAAACATGCATCCCGTCTTCATCATATTTGTACCCGAGCTTGCAAGCTTCATGTCTTATCAATTTGTGCACCCAAAGAATCACCGTTTCATCCCCAAACAAGTCGCCATTCGAGCCGGAGATCTGGACTGAGGTGGTAGCCGCAGTTTTCCTCATAGTGACCATCGCGGTCGTGTGGAGTCATTATCCCCTGAGACCAGGCGGACAGCCACGGTTCCGCAAGGGTTCCGCAAGGGCGGTGGATCGAACTCGGTACTCCCCTGGGATCCACTGAGACCAGGATTTATCGCAGTATCATAGATATAAACTGGGAATCCCCATATTTAACCAGTAGGTTTTAGTCGATTTAGTATTATCATATATATTATGATATTACATGATATTACCATTGTTTTGGTGACTTTATGGTAGGGTTGATTGCCACACATAATTCATAATAATTCAAACATTGCTCCAGTGGAGTTTCTGAGGAACAAAACCCTAGGGTCGTTTAGTAAAACTTTTGTCTATTCTCAGTGGGGGATATCTACAAACCACAAGATTTTTTTCAGAAAAGACATGGGTTCTCTGCAGGGAACTCCGGAACTCAAAACGGGGTCCCTCCCCTCACCAAAACGACCGCGCAGGTGATGATAGTGACGACGAATCCCTTTCACCGAAATCTTCCAGGTGAGCCACGGTCAAAACATCCTTGTTGCAATTTCCTCTACAGAATCGAGGGTGTTGGCACCCCAAAAACCTTCGATTCTGTAGACCCCTACTTTGCTACAAAATCAAAGACCATGGGCTGGTAAGCACCCAAAAATCATCAATTTTGGACATATTTGGACTATATCTTAGTAGGTCCATGATTCTGTAGACAGGGGCCCCAACAGTCAGCCGGGAGTGCACAAAACCTTACTTTTTGGGCATGCAACTGATTTTGTAGAGATAAGGCTTGTGACACCCTAAGGTCTTTGATTTTCTAGTAAAGCATGCCCCTTAATGTCATATCTTCAGATCTTGATTCTGTAGTGGTTTTGAGATAGTAAGAGGGAATGAATTTGATTCTGTAAAGGATAGTTCCCCCGAAACCCTTTTTGCCCAACATGTATGGGTCTTTGATTTTGTAAAGAGAAATCAGATGTAGAATATTGTAGAATTCAGGTTCTTGATTCTGTAGTAATATCATTTCCATAAGACCATTTTTCTTTGGATCCATCAGATTTTGATTCTGCAGTGGTGAGAGATGGTGAGAGGGAATAACCTTGATTCTGTAAAGGATAGTTCCCCTGAAACACCAGTTGCCCCAACATGCATGGGTTCTTGATTTTGTAGAGATAAGTCAGATGTAGAATTCAGGTTCTTGATTCTGTAGTAATATCATTTCCATAAGACCATTTTTCTTCGGATCTATCAGGTCTTGATTCTGTAGTGGTGAGAGAGGATGAGAGGGAAGAACCTTGATTCTACATGATGCTATATGATTCTATATGATTCTATAATAATCTAATATATTATATTATATTATATTATACTATATTATATTATATTATATTATAGTATATTTAATATAATATAATATAATATAATATTTAATATAATATAATATAATATAATATAATATATTATAAGGTAGCCTGCCATGGGTGTTGATTTGCACGGATTTGCACGGTCTCGCTGTGATTTCCTTCATTCAGCATGCAAGAACTCCGCAATATGAACCACTTCTGGCAAGCATTGCCAAACTGTTTCAGTATATTTCAATATATTTCAAGAAACAGCATCATGATTTTGAATTTTGACAGTTGGAGAAAAGCACATACACTTGGTTTTTGGATGTTTTTGCTTTTTTTCTCCGAAGAAGGCCCCTGGAGAAGGCAGCAAAAAAGCAGAGAAGGCAAAACCAAGGGCAAGAAAAAAGACAAGGACAAAGCCACAAAGAAGGACAAAGCCACAAAGAAATCACAGCCAAAAAAGGTAGGAGAACACAAATTTGCCAGCAAAGTGAAGACAAGTAAGAAGCTAAAGAAAGCTGAGGAGGATCATGTGAAACCTTTTGCAAAAGAAAACATCAGGCGCAAACCAAGTGGAGAAAAGTTGATCCAGCAAGTCATGGATGAGTTGAAAGGCTTGGATGATACCAAGCTTGCAGGCAACACAGTCTTCACACCGGATGCTGCTGCAAAGTGCAGGCTTCCTTTGCCGAAGTGTCAAGGTGTCGAGTGGAAGCAGATTCGGGATGGTGCTTTTGCATACTTCAAGCTTGAGCCACTGGGATTCTGCCGTTTAATATGATTTGCTTGTTTGTACCCAAACATTACGACATATTACAGTATACTTAATATATTATAATACAATATATTGTGATATATTGTGTCCTTGTATAATTCTGGAATATTCTGTATATAGCTTTTCCCTAGCGCTCCTCTCATATATCTTCCCTCAAATTGCGCTCTCTCAGCAATTTGTGCAACACCACATTGCTACATTTGCTACCTCAGGTATGGCAAATCATGTGCGAAGATTTGGGGCAAACAGGTCTATGCATGCCTCAATGCCATCAAGGTTGAATTCAATTCTGAGCCCTCTGTGCGGAAGGCTTGGACCCGTTTGGTGAGGATTATTTGTGAGAGCGGAGTTTTGTCTGTACAGTCCTCGGGAGTTTCCAAGGAAAAACCCAGCAGTGCCTAGATCCATGCCTGGATATGATCGGAGTAGTTAGGACGACTCACAATGTAGGAAGGTCATCAAGATGCTGTGGCTGGTTGAAACAGTTCTAGTCTAGGAACCAATAATTAGTTGTTCCAATATGTATTCTGATATATTCTGATAATTTTTACAAGTGTTTGCATTTTTAACATGTATTTGCACAATTTTACAATATTTTACACAATATGCTTGTATCAGGCCATTGTGTATCTTGAGACTGGCTGTGTGGTGCAGTTTCATGCTGGTATCTGCGTAGGGATAGGCACTCTGCAAGCATGAGTGCCTGGGGTGACAGGTGCAGAACATATTTGGAACATTTTGGAGCAGATGTGGGCTTTATTTTCCAAATATCTCCAACCATTTCCAAATATTTCCAAACATTAAGATTTCTGTGATCGGATGTGATGTGTTCCCGAAGTTTCCAGATGTGCGGCTTAGCCTGTGTTTACCAGCTAGCAGATTCAGAGCGTGATCTTGGCAGACAAATGCGGCAAGAAAAGCGTGAGAAAGGTGCTCCTCTGGTTTTGCACTGCAGGGTTTTTGAATGTTTTTGGGGGCGAGTAGGCAAGGGCTTCAAGAAAACATAAGAAAACAAAGCCCATGGGTTGTGAAAGGTTGTGATGTGACCTCAGCATACTCCAGCAATTTCTAGACATTTCTAGCATTTTCTGGATTTTTCTACAAAATCAAGAACCTTGTCACCAAAATTTGTGCAACTAATTTTGGATTTCTATTTAAAGAAAACATGCTACAAAATCAAAGACCAGTCATTTTGGACACCTTTAACTGACTTGTAAAATCTTGTAAAGGAACTCATGCTACAAAAATCAAAGACAGGCCATTTGGGACATCTTGGGCTGACTTGTGAAACTTGTAAACAAACTCATGCTACAAAATCAAAGACAGGCATCTGGGACTTTGGATGGGACTTGTAACTTGTAAGTGCACTCATGCTACAAAATCAAAGACAGGCACTTTGGGACTTTGGATGGGGCTTGTAAAACTTGTAAAATTTCAGGCTACAAAATCAAAGACAGGCACTTTGGACTTTTGATGGATGGGACTTGTAAAACTTGTAAAAAATCATGCTACAAAATCAAAGACAAACAAAAAATCTCTACAGAATCGACTCTAACCAAAATCTCTACAGAATCATCCTGGAGGTTTTTACTAAAAAATCCAACATACGTTTACTTGATACTTTCTGATGTGAGGTTATTGATTTTGTAGAAAAGATGAATTTGCCTTGTCAGTTTTTTTTTTGTGGAAGGTTCTTCATTTTGTAGAAACTAACATCCTAGTCTGGAGAGCAGAGGTTGATTTAGTAAAGATTTTTTTTGCACCTGACCTAGGGGCCCTCTACTGGATCGAGGGGTCCAGCACCTCCCCCCTAATTGCAAGGGGGATGTCAAAACCGTGGCAGGGCCGTGGGCGTAAGCCAAAATGTGGTGCCCGCGTAAGCCCGCGGTTCAGCTTTTTTGAAACATTTCTGTGCGTAAGCTCCTGGCGCAAGGTCTTACAGAGTTCCAACATGAGCACATGTCATGTGCCTTCGTACAAACGGCAGGGGCATATCGAAGATTTATTTAACTTGGTTGCTATGTGAAACCCATTCGCACGTGTTGGACTACCTACTTTGAAACAGTACAAACCCATAATGGATCGAAATTCTTATTGTCTTCCCCTTTCTATACAATAATCCCCAAAGGGAAAGTCGGGGTTATTACAGATCACACGAAAGGTTTGCGAACTATAAATAATTCGCATGAGTGTTGGGACTGCATTTGGGGTTGGTGGAGTCATGCTTTCTCGAGCCATTTTCTTGATCAATCATGGCCTACTGTGGCAGCTTTGCTGGCACCTAGTGCTCCGGATTCTCTGAAACAACCCCCAGCCTTTGTGCCGCATTGCTTTTTAATGAGCCTACGGATTCATCTTCTTTGTCTACTTCCGCGTTTTCATCTACCACATCTGATGCCTGATGACAGACTCAAAGACCATGGAAGCCTGCTTGTGAAAATTGCTGCGCGTAAGCTGGCGCTGTGGTGGGGTGCAAAAACTTGTAAGCGTAAGCTCCGCGTAAGTGCAAAATCAGAGAAATCCCTCGCGTAGTCGTAAGCCGAAACTGTGGTGGCGTAAGCAAAGCGCAAGCAGCCGCGTACGCATATCCTTATCGCCCTCAGAAGAACAAGACCTTTTAGACACAGCTCAGGTTGTGGTGCTCGGCTTGTAGACGAATTGCAAAGGGTCACTTGCTACCGCGAGTGCCTCTTCGCAATTCAAACACTGAGGGCGCACTAAGTGTTCCCCTCAGTGTTCCAAATGACTCGGTGCTGTGACGGGTTTGCGACGGGGGAAGCTGCATACATACCCGCAAAACTTGGCTGCGAAATGGTTTCACATCACTGGATTTCGGGGTGTGCCACAATTATCGGAACACGAGTAATCCGGCTGTGTGCCCGGCCAAGTGCCTCAGCCAGGTCTCCAAAGGAGAAAGATGGGGCGCCGCCCGTACAGCCGACCCATTTGGGATCCCGTGCTATGTGTCGAGCTTTACCCCCCCGGTGTTTTAAATACAGTGTTTTGTGGCCTTCAACTTTGCCAACGTGTTGCGTTCTAAAAAAGACGCAGTGTTTTACAGTGTTTTTGGGCCGGACCTTCCGGTGCTTTGTGCGGAGCTTTATCCCCCCCTGTGTTTTACGGTGTTTTGTGACCCCTCAACTTTTGTCAACTTTTGCCAGCATGTTGCCTCCACATAGCCCTTCCTTGGCCCCAAATGGCCCCAACACGGTCCCACAGCTATGCATTCTCTGACCCCTTCCCCCCCTGTAATTTGCGGTGTTTTGTGGCTTCTGTCCTAAAGAACAATGCCTTTTACCATGTTTTTGGGTTATTTTCTCAACATGGCCCGAACATGTCCGCAACATGCCCCCAAGATGGCCCCAACTTGGCCCCAACATGACCCCAACATGGCCTGAAGATAGCCCAACATGGCCCCATGCCTCAACATGGACCACCACCACCGCCAACAACAACAACAACAGCAACAACAACAACAGCAACAACAGCAACAACAGCAACAACAGCAACAACAGCAACAGCAACAACAGCAACAACAGCAACAACAGCAACAACAGCAACAACAGCAACAACAGCAACAACAGCAACAACAGCAACAACAACGACAACGACAACGACAACGACAACGACAACGACAACAACAACAACAACAACAACAACAAAGACAAAGACAAAGACAAAGACAAAGACAAAGGCAAAGACAAAGACAACAAAGAAACTAAAAAACAAAGCTGGAAACTCTGTGTTTTGCACTGTTTTTGGGCCGTTTTCTCAACATGGCCCCAACGTTTTCTCAACATGGCCCCAACATGCCCGCAAACCCAACTTGGCCCCAACATGGGAACATGACCCAACTTGGCAACACCCCCCACCATGCCCCGAACATGCCCCTCACATCAGCATGGCCTCACCAACCTCCCCCCTTAGCGCCCTTCCCTGCTCTCCTCTAATATGCCCTCCTCCCTGGCCGGTTGCCGGCTGTCGGTGTAAACCTAAAATAGCACGAGTTATGACATTTTCAGACTTGGAAACTGATTCCAATTTGCATGCCTGACAAGATTTTCATCCAAATGTCATCCAATTGTTTGGGTTCATGAATGTCCCATTTTCCCTTATGACCATTTGTCAAAAATAGTTGTTTAGAAGTTTAGTATTGGTTGTTGATAATTCATCTGGGTCTACTGTTTTTTCCTCTTCGTTATGAGGCGGCACGCAACTAAATTCAGCAATTCTGCAAGGCAGCGCTAGCAAACCCGCTAGGTTTGCGCTAGGATTGATTGACAGCCATGGCCTCCATGTCGTGAATGTCTTGCCAGCTTTTCTTACAAGTCTGTCAGTTTCCACATATTCCCAAATTTTCGATTTTTTTACGTATTTTACGCGCTAGATCGCCGCTAGCAACGCGCTAGCGAAAATTGCAAATACATGCCCCGGTCCACCCGCAGCCCATTCAGAGGCACAGCCATGTTCACGCTTTGGTAGATTACAGTAAGGAAACAGCGTTGATCAGGAGGCATGTCAAGAAGCATATTGCATTCAGAGAGGCACACACACAGAGACCCACAGTCCCGGAGATAGTACCAGCGACAGCGAATGAAAACCGACGTGTGTTAGCCCATTCCTGTGGTTTTAGAAAGATTTCCAAAGGTAACGAAGAATTTCCACGTTTTCACGTCATCAAGGTAGGTCATGTTTTTTAAAGGCAAACATGAGGCGGCACGCATGGAATTGCGATTTATCAACAAAACCGGGAACAGACATTTTGACAAACCGTCTTATACATCAATTGAGTGCTGCTAAGTCCAATTGCATTCCACGTATTTTTGATGGCAAAACAACATGTTTCATGCTTAAAATCCCAAGTTCTTGATGGGTATTCATCCCATTTTTCATAGTTAAAATCCCAATGATTGATGGGTCATCCATCTTAATCCCCATTTTTGGATGTTTCGAATCCATGTTTTCCATTGGTTTCCCTTTTAAAAGAGCAATACCCATTTCGAAAAACCAGGCGGACGAGGGGGACTTCGCGCACCTCTCCATCGCGGAACTCCAAGGAGTCCCAGTCCCCTGCGTCGCTTGGCGGATGCGCAAGCTGGGAGCTGGAGGATCCTGAATATTAAAAACATTCAAAAACTATATATATATATACAAAGGTTTCCTAAAAGGGGGGTACCCCAGATCATCAATTTCAATAAAATTTTCCATAGTCAATATTCACGTCGCTTCGCGACGGCAACCGCCCGCACCGCATCGTTGGGCTCACACAGCAGAGATATATCTATATATATATATAAAGATCATATATGTACATATCGAGTGAACGGTCCACACTGTTAATGATGTCAGCCATTGTTCTCTTCTACTGCCATTGTTCTCTTCTATTGCCGTCGCTCCGCGACAAGAACCCCTGTGCGGCCGCCACGGTTTGAACGATGTTGTTCTCACACCTTCGCGACCGCTCGTAACTGCCAATGATGTCGGCCATTGAGACCAAAAACATCCGAAAGTACTGATTGTCGGAAAAAAACGCGAAGAATTTGATAGCCATGTATAGCGGACCAACGCAGTTCAAAAAATAGCGAAAAACATGAAAAAACGGCGAAATTGCTGTTATTTACAGTGTTTTTGCGCGGTGAGAAGCAGAAACCACTGCAAATACCATGGTTTTTGAGGGTCAGGTGGCCAAAAACACTGTAATTTACAGTGTTTTTTTAACCAACGTCAAAAAACACTGGTATTTACGATGTTTTCATTCACACCGTAACATAAAACAGCGTAATTTACGAGGTTTTTGGAAGTTTTGAAGCTAGCCGTCAAGCATGCAGAAAACAGAAAAACACTGTAAAAACCAGTGTTTCTGCTATCACAAAACGACGAAAATCAGTCCGAAAACGGGTCCAAAAACTCAAAAATCCGCCTCCGGGCCAGGCCACCTGCGGAACCGCAAAAAAAGATGTTGCAAACCAAAAAATTGAGGTCAAAAAGTTGAAAAACACGGGTTTTTTTCACTTTTCGCTTGCCGATTTTGGACGGGCGCGTTCACGAACAGGTGTCTTCCGTACTGTTTTTTACAGTGTTTTTTGAAGGCGAGCGTCACGACCTATCAAAAACAGGAGGTTTTGGCCGAATAATGGCCCCCCCCCCCAGGTAAACCTGTAACCTTTTACGAGTGCCATCCGGACGATCACGCCCCAGCACCTTCGGTGCGGGCGGATTTCATTTTGAGGTACCCCCATTGTAGGAAACCGGCCGGGGGATGGTCTCGGGCGGTTATGGATTTGGTTTATATATATACCACCCAACGGTAAAATTGGGGATGGTTTCCTACTGCTTTACGAACATTATAGTTCATAAACGGGGCTTGGATGATCCAATTGAGTTCTTAAGAATATCGTTGTTGATTCGTGATGAAAAGGGGATTATACATGATTATACTACATGGTTTTTTCATGGGGATGGACATATGATAACAAGATAATCCACAGCAGGGAGAAAGTTTGAACCAGTTCGTATACTTAATGAGATGGGATAGAGCTATTTACAATCTATCAACTTGCCCTCAAAGTCAAATAGTTCATTTCATTTCACCATGGGAGTGATAATCCACAATTAACCCCGGGGTAATCCATGAGTATTGGAATTTCCAGGGTTGAAACTCGTTGTGAGGGGAATGAGCTTAGAATATAGTAATACAACGGATAATGGGACTGAAATCATGCAAGCTGGGATATAATTTGAAGTGCAGTTAGTAATGATACCTGTGGGGGAATGAACTGGAATTAATGGCATTTAATCGCAATTTCATTGGATTCAAGGACATTTACTGTGATTTAGTGGGATATCAAGCAAAAACTATGATAGGAAAATGGCTATCTCCCAACATGAATGATGCGATGCTACATTCTTCATGAATTATAACGACCTGACATCGTGACGTCGCTGGAATAGTGGGAATCGGATTTTTCAGGTTCGTGGATGATCAGAAACCAACCATTCGGGAATCATTTCATATCATTTCCGCGATTGCAATTAATAGGGATACGGGATACATCAGAATATTCACAATATTACCCTCTGGTAAACTAACATAGCTATGGAAAATCACCATTTGGAATAGGTAAATCAACTATAAATGGATATAAATGGTGCATTTTCAATAACTTTTTGCCAATTGAAAACCTGAGGGGATGGTTTTTTGATGTTTTTTGGGTCTATCCCATTGCAATTGGATAGTCACCATTTCGTGGGGATGAAAGTGATGAAAGTCCTACCAGCATGGTGGCCGGGGCTTGGACCTTCCCTAACTAGTGATGAAATACTATTTAAGATATGTAAGGGGTGGTTCAGATGCTTTCAGATTTTTGAATCTTGATATATCTTGATAATCTTGCAGTACTTGTACATTGCTGTGGCTCAACTGTAACTATATATTTTTGCTTGAGGTTCAAGTGCCACTGGCAGAGAATTATGCAAAAGTGCAGGAGGGAGATCCCTTTCTGTACGATGATTGGGAAGCTCCCAAACAGAACTGGGATAGATTTGGGACACCCGTAGGGGTCATCAAATATGGCGAGCTGGGAAATCTCCGAACTAAATGGAGGTCTTGATGGCAAAATCATCAATCACGTCTGAAATTGCCATGTGTGATTCCGAACCCGCTCATAACTCTACTGTATATCGTACGTACTGATCGGGGGTTAATAATGTTAACAATCCATTTACGGATCGTTCCTTCACTGCAATCATATTTCGCAGAAGGCAGTTGAAATCTCGTTTGGGCAACTGAGAATGCGCCGCTGTTTGCGCTGTTGAAAAACGTGTTTGGTCCCTCCAATCCTTCCTGATGTCAGGGGATGACCTACTGATTTGATCTCATGGAAGCTGGTTGTAGGGAAAAAAAACGTTGAAAGACTCAAAAGCATGCTTTGACCTGCCAAAACCAAGATTTTCGTGGATAAGCAAACCATGCTATTCCTGGTATCATCCCCATCTTGAGAGTTATTTTCAACCTCCGATTTCTAGCCGTATCCTAGGACCTTCAAGGATCCGGAGCTGGGGCAAGCTGGATATGACCCGCTGCCTGGGAGCCGAATGGGTTTGACATTGATGGATTGTTGAGATGGCGGTCTCCAACTTGTCTGGATCAAGATTGGGAGAAGCCCAAAACTGCACTTTTTGCAGCCCCAAAAATGGAACACAGTCAATCACAGTGAGTGGGTCACAAATCTTCAAAATCCACGACGCTGGGAAATCCAAGGGTTGACTGCCAACACTTGAGTCTAGCCACAGGAAAACCTAGTGGGGCTTAATAACTAGACGACGGATGGCCCGAGAGCGTAGAGAAGCATAGTGAGAGGTGTAAGTATGAAGATCTTATAGCATGACACATAATATAGAAATATGCGATGATAAAACATAAACATATAGAAATATACGATGATATTTAAAAGTGAAGAAACATGGTGCAGACATTGAAGAAAGGAAGGAGAAATTGAAGGAGGAAGAGAAGGAAGATGAAACGAAGAAGACACAGGAAGAAGAATTGAGAAGACACAGGAAGATGAAACGAAGAAGACACAGGAAGAAGAACTGAGAAGACACACAGCAGTGCGGAGAAGCTTTTACACACAGACGCTTTTACACACAGAAGCTTGACACAGATGCTTTTACACACAAGCACTTGTACTCGTTCACACACACAGACGCTCATACACACGGAAGCTTTTGCACACAGATGCTTTCCACACAGAAGCTTTTACACACAGACGCTTTTACACACAGAAGCTTTTACACACAGAAGCTTTTACACACAGATGCTTTTACACACAGACACTTTTACACACAGAACCTTTAACAGGACCAACCACTCGAACCTCGTTTCGTGCGAAAGGGTTGCCGCTGGACCAACCAAAGTCGCAAAAAAAACACCAGTTTTTGACACTCGAACCTTATTTCGTACGAAAGGGTTGCCGCGGAAGCGCCCAAATCGCAATTTGACCGCAGTTTTTGACGATCGAACCTCATTTCGTGCGAAAGGGCTGCCGCCGAAGTGCACAAATTTTACCACAGTTTTTTGACGATCGAATCTCATTTCGTGACCTCATTTCGTGCGAAAGAGTGGCCATTTCGTGGTGCCTCGTCGGCAGCGCCCGGGGCTTACGAGAGAAAAGAAACAGAAGGAGAGAGACCGTGATAGAGGGCGAGAGAGAGAGAGAGAGAGAGAGAGAGAAGGAGAGAAAGAGAGAGAGAGAGAGAGGGGGAGGATGAGAGGATGAGAGGATGAGAGGATGAGAGGATGAGAAGATGAGAAGATGAGAAGATGAGAAGATGATATGTGTAGATGTGTAGATGTGTAGATGTGTAGATGTGAAGATGAGAAGATGAGAAAATGTGAAGATGTATAACTGTATAACAGACCCCCACTATTAGAAGAACCCTTCGCTCAGACGCTCTCGGGAAAATGATGGGTTTCCATTGAACATATGGATTTTCCAAGCCGTATGTGAATCCCGAAAAATTGCAGAAGCATCCTTGCTAGTGGTTCTTTCACCTGATGGTGTGCGTCGTGGGGTGACCACGATTGCACAGCCAAGAGTACTGGGACGAACACCATTTCTAGATGTCACCAGCTAGTACTAAGATGTATTAAGACACTAACTAGCAGGCTGTAAGAATGGAGTTTTTTTTAAATGATTTCGGTACGATTCAGATATGAGTCGCGGTTAAAATTAGTATTGCAATATTTTTTCTGTCAGAGATGTGCACGAAACACTGCAAAACGCTAGGGACCCCCCCCAAAGGCGATAACCTGGGACCATACACAACAGTCCATTAAACTGCACATTCACAGAATGGACAAAACGGATGAGGGAAATTCAACCTGTGGTACCCTGTTTCCTGCAGTTACCATATCATTTGGCATCCAACACGCTCGCTCTCTTTCTTTCTCCCCCCCTTTTTTTTCTCTCTCTCTCTCTCTCTGTGCTGTTTTGTGGCAAATTTCGTTCGAACAATGTCATATGTTGGAGGGGTTATTTAGCGATAACCTTAGCGATAACTTAGCGATAACCATTTGTTGCACTCGGTCCATTGGCCAAACCATAGAACCATTTCCATAACTTTAGAAAGGACATGAAAGGACATGAGCGCAAAATGAAAGGAGCATGCATGCAAATGGAAGGAAAATGAAAGGATGTGAATGCACATTGGAATGAACATGAAAGAGATATGAAAGGAAAATGAAGGGAAGTGAATATAAATGAAAGGAACATGAAAGGAACATGAAAGGAAAATGAAAGAGAATGCAATATGAGAGGAATATGCATGCAAATGAAAGGAAAACGGCAGGAAAATGCATGCAAATAAATGCAAAATTAAAGGAACATGAAGTGTTGCCGAAGCACCTGAAACCAACAAAACAACTCCTCGATCCATTTCCGAGCCTGTTTAGGAATGGGTTTTGGCTTCATGTTCACAAAACCCTGGAAAGCGATAGGCCCCTCCCCAAAAGCGACAACCATAACAATAGCAACTCAGATGTAAAGGATTTTGATGGGAACTCATATGTTTTGTTGTTATGATATGTTGAGATCTGTTTGTGGCCTGGTTTTGCAGTTATGTTTTGATATGGTTTCAGTGTGATTATGATAGTCGTCAAGATTGTGGTTTTGATGTGGGTCAGGAGTCAGAATAGTAATTTCAGTTTCCTCAGGTTTTGCTGTGTTTTTTTACTGTAGATGTTTTGAAAACATATCAGAATCGCATCAGAATCAACATCGGATCAAAATCATGTCAAAACCGAACCAGAATCGTAACTGGCGAGAAATCGAACAAAGACCTCTATTTGTGTTGATCAACTCCCCGGGTCTTATGGGTGTAACGACTCTTGCTGTTAAGTATTCCGCGGATGTAGCTCCAAGTATGGCCAAACCACTGGAGACGAGGTTGGCATCTATGGCATCAATCCCCACATCCTCGAACCCAGGATCCTTCAACTCGCAAGGCTGGATGGGCATGATTTCAACATATTTCAACAATCAGGATGACCAGTTTTCGGACCTTGGCGACTTTTCATTGAAGTGAACCCCCATGGGCCCGGCTGGGGTCTTTTGAAAGACGTCTGGTGAAGCGGGGACCCCTTTGGTGGCAATAACAAGAATGACGCCATCGCTGCTAGGATCTCGGGTGGTGCTGACGATGCCCATGCAGCCGCGGCCCTTGCCCATGCAACACATGCACATGCCGAATTCCGTGGTCAGTTTGCAAAGTTTGTACCGGACTCCAAAGTGAGACCGGTGCCATCCGGTGCCAAAGTTAATGCTGCCTTAGTGCCCAAGAAACAAAAGAAGCGCACGCCGCAGCGCGCAGATGGTGAGAGTCTGTGTGAATGTCCTTGGTTGTTCCGCAGTTTCAACCCACCAAGATGCGAGACATTTGATGGGTCTACTTGACGGCTTGAACGTTTTTTCCTTGACTCATCTTGACTCCTAAATCGGCTGTCCACTAGTGTCTCTATACTGGAACAGAGTTGAGGGTACCATCCGGACCAAAGTCTGAGAAAACATGACAGCTTGTTTCAGTCTTGTGGAAAAACTGTGAACATCTATGAGCAACTTAAGACGTATAGGCCGTATAGGTGTGTATGCAAATGGGGCATTCCACAAATTGGCAAGTCAGTGCGGAAATAGGAGGATTAACCTCTGGATTTGTGACATAATCCATTTTTTGACAGACCCGTAGGTTTTGACACGCCCCAAACAAGACGTCTGCTGTCAGAATCAGATACAGGAACCCCAAGATGGAAGGATCTATGGTGAAAACAAAATGTTCGGTGTACCAGGGCATGATGTGATTTCGGTTTTAGAACTTCAATTTCGCTCGCTGCCCCAGTGTGGAAGATCTATGGGACATTCCTGAGGTAATGTGATCCAAGCGGCCACCTGTTCGACCAGTTTGTTTCGCTGTAGTTCAAAGGATGGTTTCCTCAAATATTTGTACCCCCAAAATCCTTTATAGCATGGGCTTGCGCCCGGGTGCCGCCGACCCCTCCTTCTTTGCGGGGCCGGTGGCCGCATCCGTGTCACCGATCTCCGGTGCTTGGGATATCGACATTAAACAGGAACCTCAAGATGTCCTGTTGGAAAGTCGAGGGCCCCGAGGTCTGGAACCAAATTTCAGGCATATATCATGACTGACAGATACTGAAAGCAACAATCAGTTCATTGTATAGTATATCATATAGTATATAATATAGATTAATATAGTATAGAATATAGTATAGAATATAATATAGTATATAATATAGTATACAATATTGTATACTATACCCAATGCTTCCTGGTTACCCTTATTTTAAGTAACTGGGGGTTAGTTCCGGTTTCTCCTGGAACCAGAATTCTAGCGATGAACCAAAGCCCAGCCAAGGCACTTTCAGGCTATGGTCCACTGACCGCCGCCTATTGTTCAAGTTTCGAAGTGCTTCGCCGCACGTGGGGTGATTGACATCACCTTAACGTTCGTTTTAGCACCCTAAGTTCCAATTTTGTTCCCTGCGGTGTGCTTTGCACAACCTTCTTTAGCACCCTAAGAAGAAACGCCTGTTGCCAGATGCCTGGTCGAAGCTGCCGCGGGGGATTTTAAGCGTTTGAGGGCGGGCAAACGGCAGGCTTGAACGCCCTAACAACAGAGGGCCATGGAGGCAAATGGCAGGCGTCAAGGCTCTAAGAACAAATGCCTGTGGCCAGAGTGCCTGGTCGAAGCTGCCGCCGGGCATTTTAGGGGTTTGAGGGCTGGCAAACGGCAGGCTTGAACGCCTTAACAACAGAGGGCCATGGAGGCAAACGGCAGGCTTCAAGGCTCAAAGAACAAATGCCTGTGGCCAGAGTGCCTGGTCGAAGCTGCCGCGAGGGATTTTAGGCATTTGAGGGCTGGCAAACGGCAGGCTTGAACGCCCTAACAACAGAGGGCCATGGAGGCAAACGGCAGGCTTCAAGGCTCTAACAACAAATGCCTGTGGCCAGAGTGCCTGGTCGAAGCTGCCGCGAGGGATTTTAGGCATTTGAGGGCTAGCAAACGGCAGGCTTGAACGCCCTAACAACAGAGGGCCATGGAGGCAAATGGCAGGCTTCAAGGCTCCAACAACAATGCCTGTGGCCAGAGTGCTTGATCGAAGCTGCCGCGCGGGATTTTAAGCGTTTGAGGGCGGGCAGACGGCAGGCTTGAACGCCCTAACAACAGAGGGCCATGGAGGCAAACCGCAGGCTTCAAGGCTCTAACAACAAATGCCTGTGGCCAGAGTGCCTGATCGAAGCTTTAAGGGTTTGAGGGCTGGCAGACGGCAGGCTTGAACGCCCTAACAACAGAGGGCCATGGAGGCAAACCGCAGGCTTCAAGGCTCTAACAACAAATGCCTGTGGCCAGAGTGCCTGGTCGAAGCTGCCGTGAGGGATTTTAACGTTTCACGGCTGGCAAACGGCAGGCTTGAACGCCCTAACAACAGAAGGCCATGGAGGCAAATGGCAGGCTTCAAGGCTCTAACAACAAATGCCTGTGGCCAGAGTGCCTGATCGAAGTTGCCGCCAAGAATTTTAAGCGTTTGAGGGCGGGCAAACGGCAGGCTTGCACGCCCGAACAAGAGAGGGCCATGGAGGCAAACGGCAGGCTTCAAGGCTCTAACAACAAATGCCTGTGGCCAGAGTGCCTGCTCGAAGCTGCCGCGAGGGATTTTAAGCGTTTGAGGGCGGGCAAACGGCAGGCTTGAACGCCCTAACAGAGGGCCATGGAGGCAAACCGCAGGCTTCAAGGCTCTAACAACAAATGACTGTGGCCAGAGTGCCTGATGGAAGTTGCCGCGAAGGATTTTGAGAGCGGGCAAACGGCAGGCTTGAACGCCATAATAACAGAGGGCCATGGAGGCAAACGGCAGGTTTCAAGGCTCTACTCTAACAACAAATGCCAGTGGCCAGAGTGCCTGCTCGAAGCTGCGATGGAAAAGCGTTTGAGGGCTGGCAAACGGCAACCTTGAACGCCCTAATAACAGAGGGCCATGGAGGCAAACGGTAGGCTTCAAGGCTCTAACAACAAATGCCTGTGGCCAGAGTGCCTGATCGAAGCTGCCGTGAGGGATTTTAGGGGTTTGAGGGCTGGCAAACGGCAGGCTTGAACGCCCTAACAACAGAGGGCCATGGAGGCAAACGGCAGGCTTCAAGGCTCTAACAACAAATGCCTGTGGCCAGAGTGCTTGGTCGAAGTGCTTGGAATTTGAAGCCAACGCCTTAGCAACAGAGGGTCATGGAGGCAAACGGCAGCCGCGAGGGATTTTAAGCGTTTGAGGGCTGGCAAACGGCAGGCTTGAACGCCCTAACAACAGAGGGCCATGGAGGCAAACGGCAGGCTTCAAGGCTCTAACAAAAGCTGCCGCGAGGGATTTTAAGCGTTTCACGGCTGGCAAACTGCAGGCTTGAACGCCCTAACAACAGAGGGCCATGGAGGCAAATGGCAGGCGTCAAGGCTCTAACAACAAATGCCTGTGGCCAGAGTGCCTGATCGAGGCTGCCGTGAGGGATTTTAAGCGTTTGAGGGCGGGCAAACGGCAGGCTTGAACGCCCTAACAGAGGGCCATGGAGGCAAACGGCAGGCTTCAAGGCTCTAACAACAAATGCCTGTGGCCAGAGTGCCTGATCGAAGTTGCCGCGAGGGAATTTAAGCGTTTGAGGGCGGGCAAACGGCAGGCTTGAACGCCCTAACAACAGAGGGCCATGGAGGCAAATGGCAGGCAAATGGCAGGCTTCAAGGCTCTAACAACAATGCCCGTGGCCAGATTGCTTGATCGAAGCTGCCGCGCGGGATTTTAAGCGTTTGAGGGCGGGCAGACGGCAGGCTTGAACGCCCTAATAACAGAGGGCCATGGAGGCAAATGGCAGGCTTCAAGGCTCTAACAACAAATGCCTGTGGCCAGAGTGCCTGGTCGAAGCTGCCGTGAGGTATTTTAAGGGTTTGAATGCTGGCAAACGGCAGGCTAGAATGCCCGAACAACAGAGGGCCATGGAGGCAAATGACAAGTGGCCAGAGTGCCTGATCGAAGCTGCCGCGAGGAATTTTAAGGGTTTGACGGCTGGCAAACGGCAGGTTTTGAACGCTCCAACGGAGGGCCATGGAGGCAAACGGCAGGTTCAAGCTTGAACACCCTAATAACAGAGGGCCATGGAGGCAAACGGCAGGCTTCAAGGCTCTAACAACAAATGCCTGTGGCCAGAGTGCCTGGTCGAAGCTGCCGCGAGGGATTTTAAGTTTTTGAGGGCTGGCAAACGGCAGGTTTGAACGCCCTAGCAACGGTAGGCTTCAAGGCTCTAACAACAAATGCCTGTGGCCAAGGTGCCTGGTCGAAGCTGCCGCCAGGGATTTTAAGCGTTTGAGGGCTGGCAAACGGCAAGCTTGAATGCCCTAACAACAGAGTGCCATGGAGGCAAACGACAGGCTTCAAGGCTCTAACAACAAATGCCTGTGGCCAGAGTGCCTGATCGAAGCTGCCGCGAGGGATTTTAAGCGTTTGACGGCTGGCCGACGGTAGGCTTGCACGCCCTAATAACAGAGGGCCATGGAGGCAAACGGCAGGCTTCAAGGCTCTAACAACAAATGCCTGTGGCCAGAGTGCTTGATCGAAGCTGCCGCGAAGGATTTTAAGCGTTTGACGGTTGGCAAACGGCAGGCTTGAACACCCTAACAACAGAGGGCCATGGAGGCAAATGGCAGGTGGCCAGAGTGCCTGATCGAATCTGCCGCGAGGAATTTTAAGGGTTTGACGGCTGGCAAGCGGCAGGCTTGAACGCCCTAACAACAGAGGGCCATGGAGGCAAATGGCAGGCTTCAAGGCTCGTCTTTATACAAGTATCCATCAGGTGTCACGTCATGTCACCTCAAACTCACTTTGAGGGCTTCTTCAGAACCACCGGCTTGGACTTCTTCTTGACTTCTGGATGTCTTTTCTGGGTTTTGGGCTCCACATCCTCCAACCATGAGACAGGCTCCAGCTCAAGCGCGAGCACAGCTCCATTGTAGTTGGGTCCCAGCCGTCCGTAGCTGTCCTGTCTGTGTGAAAGGTTGTGGGAATAGAAAATTAAAAAACATACATAAGAAATTTCATGAGGTCAACTTGAGATTACTGACATCATATTACATGCCACCAAGATTCTAAGGCATCCTCCATGCTTGATCCAGGAAGAACTTTCTCCACGCCCAATGTGCTCAGGCATTTCTCCACCGACTCAAACTCCGTGATTGAAAGAAGGCGGTCAGAAGTCGTCGACGCTTGTACCAGTGCCAACCCACCAACATAGGAGTCTTCAAACCTACATACTTGTTCTGAACAGGGCGGATCTCATACTTCTGTCCTTTGTGATAAGATTTGCTTGGCATACATCTTCTTGATGGTGAACGTCTTCTCAGCCATGACAGGTTCGAACGCAATGATATGAAGCTAGTTTGGGTCTCAGATGCTCTGAAGAAAGTATACGTAAGTATGGATTGATAGCTGACAGGTGTGTGTCACATTGGCATCATTGGTCACTTTGATTTCAATCTGATCCAGTGATCTTTCCAGCAGCTTCAGCTGGCTCAAAAACTTGGGGCTTCAACTGTCATCTGGCTTGAGGCGCGCGACTTTGATTTGTTTTTGATCAAGGTCCACTGAGATTCACATGAAATCATGTACGCAGGATCGATGAGTCGTGAGGAGGAGCCATGACTGTCATTCAGAAATCTTTGAAGTTCATTCAATCCATGGAATGCATCTTTCCAGGAACTTCCTCCGCCAATTTGGCGACAACGAAGCTTTGGCGCAATTGCAGATGAGGCCCATCTTGTCCTGCAACATGATTCAGCACTTCTCATCGGAGTCCTCTTGTCAGGAGATCAGACCGGATCAGTTGCGGGAGCTGAAAGAGAAGTTGGTGGCAGGAAGGGATGATGAGGTTGGGGACAACGTGCAGTCACATTTAGTCATGACTTGCTGGTTTTTGCTTCTCATTGGCAAGTGGTCCTGTTGCAGATCTTGAAGCTTGGCGGCAAAGAACTCTTCAAGTACCTCAATTGGGCCGAGATCGTGGGGACACTTCAGCTGGCCCTGGCTACTCTCATGTTCAAAACTGATTTGATCCCATTGCCTAAGGCCTGCAACTCCCGCGATACGGGTACCATCGCCCAGTGCTTGGTGGTGGCATCGCGTTGGGACGCTTTGAATTGGAGGTTGGCCACCGTCACCCTCAATTCATTGGGCTGTTCCTGTTCTCTTGCTTGCCAGGAGCATCAACGCCGCCTCTTTTGATCCATCAGTGCCAGAGTCCCAGTCTGTTAAATTGACCTACCAAGCTGGCAGTACTGAAGCTGATTTTGAGGAAAACAAGCCATAGACCCATAGATCCTGAAGATCATTCGGTCTGTGTGGCTCCCAGTCTTTTCCATACTAGGGAGTAGGGGCAGCAAAAAATCATGAGAAACCTGCAATGAACCTCATGTCTACATGTCTGTACTTATATACATATAAAAAAATATAAATATATATATATATACATATATATATATATATACATGTGATAGAAAGGGAAGTTGAAGTTAGATTAACGCCGGTTACATGTCTTCTAGTTAGTTGACTTCCTTGTTGCATTAACGCAGGAAACGTGATCTAGTTGAGCGATTTCAGTTCACTCGGGATACTCAGGTTCAATGAATCTTCCAATCGCATTTGGTCGCCTCGGATCAGCAGCGGTGTGAAAAAACTCCACCAGAGTGCCTGATCGAAGCTGCCGCGAGGAATTTTAAGGGTTTGACGGCTGGCAAACGGCAGGCTTCAACGCCCTAACAACAGAGGGCCATGGAGGCAAATGGCAGGCTTCAAGGCTCTAACAGCAATGCCTGTGGCCAGAGTGCCTGATCGAAGTGCTTGGCATTTGAAGCCAACAAAAACAAGCTCCACACCTCCGGTGGTCCCAGGCGCCGCCCCTGCCTTGGCAAAGGCTGGGGTCGGCGGATTTTAATAGGACTTGCCATTATAAACCATCCAGCTATTTCGGTAGCCTTATGGAACCCCCCACTTGGGGGGGGTCTCCGATATTAGTTCCAGGACTGGCGTGAATGTGTGGTCGATGCCTCCGAGGCAGAACCGTTGGGAAATTTCATGCTGTGGTTGGTGAATTAAATTGAGACCAGCTGCTGTTAAGCTCCTTTGATTGGGATATACCCCCTGGTAAACTTACAAACAACTATTGAAAATGGCCTAGGCGAAATAGTGGATTTACCCATTAAAAATGGTGATTTTCCATAGTCACGTTAGTTTACCAGAGGGTACTAGTTGCTGTGTTTGGTGACTTAGACATACTTAGACCAGTTTATACAATGGTGTTTTGAACTAGCGAACTGCAACATGTGACAACTTAAACCACCAAGTTTTGATCTTGATGTCACCTCTTTGGGATGATTCCCAGCACTGTAGGGCTCAACATTCCCCAGGCCCCGGACGGATTCCTCAATCCCAACGTGACGACCACTGCGGGTCCAGTACATGGAGGATCCACTTTTTCAGTACAGTAAGCGGTTAGTAAAACCATCCCCTTTGGGGAGTTCTAAATGGGTGGGATTTCAACCATCCCCAAATGGTAGTTTTGGCTACCCAACATGGTAACCAAATATGGCATGATGAATTTCCCACTTAGATGCCCCCATTTACATGCCCATTTATAGGAGATTTCCCAGCTAGCCATGTTTGATTGTCGGAGGTTCAAAAAATAATGTTTGGTTGTATATCGCACTAAATATGATTAAAACCCAGTAAATCACAGTTTTTCCTGGTTAAATCCCACCAAATCCCATTAAGTCGTGGGTTTACCACATGAGTTCAGTTTGAAACAACGAATCGGACCAGGCGCTACGTTTCGAACCAAACCATCACAAGGTGCTTGGGTGCTGGGTAGTTTTCAATGGTCAGTAGGAGGTAAAAGTGAAGTAATTGAATCAGCTGGGGATAAGCCAAAATTTAAGCCTTATGGGACCAGAAATTTTTGCATATGTTCAAGTAGTAATCCTCTAATCTCTAATTATCGGGGTACCCAATTTTGACCTATACCCAGCTAAACTAAGAATCCGCATCCTTCCGAATTTTGAGGGAGGTGATTTCTGACTACCCTTTGGCAAAAAAAGACAGTTTAACATAAATAGCTATGGTATGCCACGGTATAGATGAAACATTTAGTTTCATGATGTATTTGTTAACAGTTTGCCAACTGTGACAGTTTCCCAGAGATCTTTGCTCGACGAATCTGAGAGAGGCTGAAACTATTCAAAAGCAAACCAAAACCAAGAACCACTTCTTACGAACTTTTGTATCTATTGTTGGTTTTCAGCAGGATCCACCCCAATGATTTCGCATTTTGATGATTTTTAGTGGCTGGGATTAGCTTCCCCCCGGGATAGGTCAACTTTTTTTTGGGGATAACCATCCAGCATCATCCAGCGAGCATCCGGGTACCATCTGCTCGGGGTTTTTCCCAGGCCACCCTACGGCGCGGCTTTGCCCTGGCGCGAATGAAGCGCTGGGTCTGGAGCCGAGCCAACCTCGGGGTTTCCGAGGTTTCCGAATGACTGGGTACCCCAGGTACCCCAATAGCTGGATGGTTTATATATAGATGTTTATTGGGTATAGATGTTGGGTAACCCTCCAGGGGGATATGAGTTGGGGGTCACCTAGTCACCAAGTCTTCGCTATTCAGCAATTGGATGGTTCCAAACTCAATAGTTTGGGGCTACAATGTTTGGATTATTAATGTCGAATAGCTCAAGAAATAGTGGGTAAATCTTTGGGCATAATTTTATATACAATAGCTGGATGGACAATCCTATTAAAGTATGGATGATTTGGGGGTTACCCCCAGCCATTCAGAAACTTTGAAATGGGGATGAGTCAAAATGGAAGTCCCAGAAGGGGACCTGGGTCATGTGTTGGGGAGAGGTAGCACGAATGAACAAAAACCTCAGGGATGTAACCATACCTATAAGCAACAGATGTGCGATTTCTAACCCCGTTCTGACCGGTAATGCCCGTTTATATTAGTCTGTTGTTCAATCATGCAATCATGCTTCAGTCCGCACCATTGATTTGCACAAGTTTAATTCATTTTGCATATAATGTATGTACTCTATATTTATCTCTACTTAATGGTTTTTACATACCATTTATATCCATTTATAATGGTTTGTACATACCATTTATCTCCATTTATATCCATTTATATCCATTTATGTGTCATTTTGTCAGTCCCATTGGCTTTGGCAACGCCGGCCCCCGCGACCTCAGGCTGCGGCCGCCAAAGACCTAGACCTGGCCGTCAGCCTAGATCCAGCCGACAAGAAGGCGAGAAATCTCACTGTCTCCGGGGTTTTGGAAATTGAAATGGCCATGTAGTTACAGGTTAATACATGTTAATACACTTACTATAATCATGGTGATGTTCAATAGCTATGTTAAATTACCGGTGATCCCTTCCCACTCATTAATTCACCACACCCCAGAAATCATGGTTATGGTTTCTTAGGGGGATTTACACTTATTTGGGACCATCTAGGGGGAAATTGTTCATGGGGGGATGGGATGAGCCACATTAAAATTGGGAATTTGCCGAGGGATTTGGCGTGTATCTGGCCTTCAAACATGTCGGAGATTTGTTTGGTGTATTTGTTTTAACTTGATTCAAGCATACATACTTGGCATAAATCTCCATCACCTGTGCCCATGTCCATCGATGAAACACGTATTTTTGATGAAACCTTGGGTAAATATCGGAAACTACGTACAACAAGATTCGCAACATCCATCGGCCCATCCAGGAATAGTGTTGAGCCAATCCCCAATTTAAAACCATCGGAAAAGCTGACGCAATTGTTTACTGTACATGTTTTTCAAAACCAATAGCTGAATATCATTATAGCATATTGTAGCATTATAATGCATTATATAATTATATATAGCCAATTATTTATAGTTTATTTACATATTATGGGTTATAGTTATAACCATTATTAAACCCATTATATGATGCATGCATGGTTAATAAACCCATGATATATTAATTATATATTAAATCATTATATATTAAACCCATCATAACCATTATATATTAAACCCCTATAATCATTATTTACATGCCTGTTCAATCATGATGCATCGATCTGAAGACGTCAGGCTGTGGCTGAGCTGCAGATGGCTCGGCGGATGCTGGCGGAGCAAGCGAAGGTCAGGATTTGTGCGGCGGTTACATGGGATTCATATTGGGATTATCAAATATGATATGTGATTATACAATCATATATTATTATATGATTATACATGGTATTATATATGATATGTCAAAGGGAACCAGGCGCTAGGTGCATGTATCATATGGACATTGCACTTCATGACGAACGCCCATTTTGGCTCAAGCGCCCGCTGAAAGGAAAACAATCGCGTGATGCTCGCAATGCTTCGTTAGGTTCGGCTACTCCCAGCACTAAGGTATCATCAATTAAAGATATCCAGAACAAGGATCCATTTGTTCACAGGTTATCAGCCGTAGGGCTCACTTCTCCCGCCGGGAGAGTGGTACCTGCGTGCTGGTAGCCGGGCCGTCTGAGCAATTGATTGAGGACGCAAAGGACCAATCAGCTCATCGTCGCAAAGATGCAAGGCGGCAGCGGAGATTCGCGCACCACGCAGTTTACCTTCAATGAGAACGTTGCTATGCCGGTCGAGGAGGTCAATCAATCTTCCCCTGGCGAAACGGCAGACAGTGGCGGAATACGCTCTACCCGAACTACACAGTCCGGATGGCAAGTCACGTCAAACAGACGAAGAATATCCACTCAAAGTACACCTAGATCTTCTCGAAACAGTGCTCGGAGTGATGTTGTCCGCCAAGGGCATCGACCATCTCGAGGACGAACTACCCCAAGGGACAGATCCACCAGGGCCGTGACCGACCGAATTGGTGAGAGGACCGGGGATAGTCGTGTTAAGAGAAGATCAACAGATACTTCTGTGGCTAGTGAACCTATTGCCATGATAGAAAAACTACGGGCACAATGTCAATCCTTACGTAATCAGCTGAACAACATGGAAGCATACGCTGCATCTAGAGATCAACTGATTCATGACATCGAGATCAGATTCGCTGAGTATCTTCGGGAACACAACCAGAATGTAGTTGATGAGGTCAATGCACTCAATAAAAGATTATCATGTTCCGCAAATGAAGTTGCAGAATATCAAGCAGAACTAATGGTAGCATCTCAGGAAGACGAAGGTGCAACAATACGCATCCAAGACCTTGAACGCCGAGGTGCCCTAATGGAACATGGTGCACGACGGATCCATCAACGTGGTATGGAGATCCAGGAAGAGTACAAGGATGAAGTACATCACCTTCGAGGACTACTGGGTAATACGGAGGCAAGACTTCAACAACTCCATCAAACCAATGTCTTAACCACCGATATTGCCAATCGACTGTACAACGAAGGTCAAGAAATGCAAACAGATTTCCAGAACTCGATCATGGAGTATCGTAATCGATCCGAGATGGCATCCTTCTCTAGTAATCAACTAGAAGTGATTAGCCAACAACAATCAATTGCAGTTCATGAATTGTCCGAGCGGAATCAACTATTGAGTGAAGCTTTGGTTCAGTCTCGTAAACAGGCCGAGCTGTATGAGAGTAGTATTGATGAGATCACTAGAGAATCTAGGAAGAAGGTGTTCGAGGCAAATCAGGCCAAGTTGGAAAGTGATCTGAAGCATCGAAACACCGAACATGATACCGTCAGAAGAATCGCATCATACAGGAACCAAGAGGCCGAAGCAATATCACACCTGAGGCTTGAATCACAGGCTAGTGCGAACTCGATCGCAAGGGCAGAGCATTATGAGGAGCTCTATGCCAACGAGCAGAAGATGAACTGCGAGCTGAAGGATGAGATCAAGTTGCAGAACACAAAGTTACGGAGATCGTTGACTCAGGGTTCTACGACCGACGGTCGTGGCCCCGATGAGATGCTTGTCGAAGATCTGCGTAATCAGGCCAAGATCGCTCAAATCAGGGTTCAGGACCTAGATCATGAAGTTCATGAATGTTTACAAGAGAACTTGTTGTTAAAAGAAAGGTTGACTGAAGTTGCGGATGTAGGGGCGCCGTCCCTCACCAATGCCGAGGTCCGAACTCTAAAATCTGAACTAGAGAATGAGCGCAAAATGAAATTGGCTAGTGGTGTTCAACAATATGAGAGATCATGCATGTTCATGGGAGAAATCCAGGATAGGGATGAAAAGATTGGTATTAAGAATTCTGAGATTATTACGGACATGAAACGTCAAGTAGATGAGATGAGAAAGAGTCTCAAGGATTCTGAAATGTCCATGTCAAAGGTCAGTCCTGACATGCTTCCCTATTCTGCAGGCATTCCCAACTACGATCTCGCATCAAGACTAGTCATTGACAAATTGGAGAATGACGTGAGTGAGGCTAACTGTGAAAACGCTATTCTGAAGTCTTGGGTCTCGCAGATCGACAAGGAGCTGAACCATGAGACAAACGTAGCTCAGTCCTATCGCGAACATGCTGTACTTCCTCAACGACAACCTTCTCAATCAAACAAAAGAATCACTGATCTGCTGAGAGAAGTTGACAACAGGATCGCTGACGGAACTGAGAGGGATTACTACAAACCACCGAGTGGATGGGGCGGTCCGCCTGACCCTGATGGACCTCCTGACCCTTTCGGGCCCAACGGTCCAGGACCACCTCCTGAACCTCCAGGATTGCCTTCAGTTCGAGGGTCACAACGTGATTCAGCAGATGATGTCTCCACTGCAGCTTACACGGCAGAAGAAGTGCCAAGAATGTCAAGACGGGAGGCTGACAAAGTCTATGTTAGTCCATGGCCGAAACAGCAGAATCTTGGGGTTTGGCAATCAGATCTCATAAAGAGTGTTGTTCTTTCTGCCAATGATGGGGACAAAGCCGCATGGGAAGCATGGTTACAACCGGCTATTCGACCAAATCCTGACATCGAGCTATTAAATGACAGTGGAGGGCAACGGTATCAGTCAATCGACGCCAAATTGTCAATTGCGTTGTCAAACGTGATAGCCCAAGCCGGTGATGTTGCTCGTCATGTAGCGATCAAACTGAGATTGAGGACACAAAGTCATAGTCGAAGAGGAACCTATGTCATGGGACGGGAAATCTTGGCTATGATCCTGGAGCACTTCAGAACCCCAGGTCAACGAGAGACAGCCTTCACTATGGAGCACATCGTATCGATGAAGTATCTCGGTGACTCAAACCTGGAAGTGTTCTATGAGAAATGGATGGAGATGGTATCAAACATGATGCCAGATGATGTACCTCCTGATGATTGGCTTCGTGATGCTCTATACAAGAAGATTCGAAATTCGAGCCTTATGATGTTTGACATCAAGCAGTACGAGTCATGGATGGAGGGAGACCAAAGACGAAACTATCGCTATCTCTTGGACGTCATCGAAAGACATATCTCAAGAATTAGAGAGGACAAGCATGTGGCCGCTAGAGAAAAATATGCAAGAGATTTTGCAGGCGGCGGCAAACCTTCAGCTCCTGCACCAAATCCGACTGCTGCTGCACCGGATGCGAACCCAAAAGCTAAGCCTAAGGCTACTCCCAAGGAGAAGGCAGCACCCAAGGCGAAGGCCAAGGCCGATGCAGCCCCGGTTCTACCATCTCCTCAGCCTAAGCAGCATGCGAAAGGGAAAGGAAAAGGTCAAGGGAAAGGAAAGGATCGAGCAAACAGCCGAAGTGCCAGTCCGAGATCCAAGAAAAAGATCCCATGCCATTTCCATTTCATCAAGAAAGCATGCAGAAAGGGCAAAGATTGCGAATACAGTCACGACCAAAAGGTGTTCGACGCAAACAAGAATGCGAAAGGCAACGGTCGAAAGCCAGGAACTCCAAGAAGTCAATCTCCTGCAAACAAGACCAAGAAGATTGATGAGCCATGCTGGCATTGGGCCAAGGGCAAGTGTCGGTATGGAGACAAATGCAACAAACGCCACGATCCTCATCTATTCAACACTGCTCCAAATACTGAAGCACCAAGCTCAAAGGCTACACCTGCACTTATCCATGATTGGAGTGATGATGAAGGGACCTTCCACAAGGTTGCATCGAACGTGATCAAGAAGAAGGTCAGATTTGATGAGTCTAAGAATAACGTTCAAACTTACGTGAAGAAGGACTTCGTGAAGTGCAACCGGAAATCCCAAACTACTCCCAAAGGTCATGGTAAAGTTGGTAAGCCCACTGATCAGGTAAGGAAAGATGAGCAATGGTCTTATTCATGCAGGTTAGCTTCGAGCCGAGGGAAAGCAATGGCTATTCTGATCGATGAGAAGGGTGAATATAGTGACATTGATGAAGTCCTGGTCATCGTCGGCCCTAGCATGGACATTCTGATCAGGCTCGACATTGAGGACGATGAGGTGTCCAGGGAAGTTTTTGTGGAGAACTATGTTCAGCATATTGAAGGTCGATATGGTAAAAGGGGCAACACAATGTGTATCACTGTTCCTGTTGAGGAGAGAGATAAGAGATTCATATTGGATTCTGGAAGTGGTCATGATCTTATTTCATCCACACGAATAAGTAGAATGGATCTCCCAACATATGATGACAAGGTCGTCAACTTCCATACAGCAAATGGGGTGACATGTTCGACCAAACGTTCAAGCATCAAGTTCGAGGCATTCAGTGAACCTGCCGAAGCTCACATCTTGGAGGACACACCCTCTGTGCTCTCCATGGGAAAGCGATGCGTCGATCTTGGCTACTCATTTGTATGGCCGACTGGGAGAACCCCATTCATGTTGGACCCAAATGGCAACATCATCGAGATGACCGTTAAAGACTATATCCCCTATGTGAGCGTCGATCAAGAGAAGAGAAAGTTGAGATCATCATGTGTGGAAAAGATCATGGCAGTTCTTGATGACGGATGCTCAACATCAGAAGGCGAAGGTCTTTTGGTCATTGATGGAGAAAGTGGAGATGAGCTTGAGGATCTTTCCGACTCCGTTGGAGGATCCGATGTTAAGTCTCCCAAAAGATCATTGAAGAAACGTAAGAAAACAAAGTCAAGATGCGATCAACATGAAGTCGCTGTTGGAAGTGATGCAGGTGACGATGAAGAAATGCCAGGCTATGACGATGAATATGCCGAGTT